ATGAATTATGAACCATAGGGCATGTATTTCATATGTGCTATATCTTCTCTTTTCCTTTCTACTTTCTGCACCCCATATCGACATTTTCTTATCACCCGCACTATGGCATCTTTTCCGATTTTCACATCAAATAATAATATTAATTTATTTTTTTTTTTTTTTTACAGAAGATGTTGAATCGAGCTGATATTGCGCTGCCACCCAATTTGCCCTTTTTTTCTGTTCACAAATAAGCACACCCATTTGTACGTTATAAATGGAGTAGCAAATTTGGATATCCATTAAATTGCCTCTTTTGTTCTTTTAAACACATATTTCACTCGTATATAATTAAAAAAGGGAGAGGAATAAAACAGATACGCAAATATTACCATTTTGTGTATTCACTGTTGTTCACACGTCCATTCACATCATTTTAATAACTCTCAATTTTATGGGAATACGAACGAAAAGTGATGAGCTAAATGGCTATGTGCGTATATCCACTTACACATAATTTTGTACTCCTTTTTTATATAGTTAAAACAGCTTTTCGTTTTCTTTTTTTCTTTTTTTTTTTTTTTACTGTTCTTTCAACTGCGCCTACGCCCACTTGGCTACATTTCAGAGTTGTCAGGGTATATTATATGTTGCGCAGATATTTTTTTTGTAAAAATTAAGAATTAAATATATGTTCATATAATTATTTGTTTGCTTCTTTCTTACTTTTTTTTTTTTTTTTTTTACTCCTGTCATACTTTAAAAAATAGTGTAAATACCTTTTTTTAAATAGCAAAAACAACGTATTGCATGAAAAATGCACATGGCTAAGGCCTCTTTTTTTGTTTTGTACAAATGAGTTCTTTTTAAGGAGGCTTTTAGTTTATCCCGTCAAGGGGAGCTGTGAGGATTAAATACTTACCTTCACATCTAGCACATCCGCATGCTACTGCTTATTGAGTATTAGTATGCATATACATGAACATGCGTATGGGGCCCTTGCCCATGTGTGCAAAAAATTCACGCACATCCGCACATCATCACAAAAGCATCTCAACACTGGGACGACGAAACAAAATCAAACAAACATTGGGGCACCCAAATTAGATAAAATGGAATGACGCATTGCGTGTTCGCGCTTCTCAAATTGGTTAATCAAGTGTGAATACGGCAAAATTACAGAAACAGATTGCGCACAACTTTTTGCCACATATCGAATGAAGCTTGGTAATGAACACATGAGAGACGCGTGCCAGAGGAGCGAGGTGTCCCCTCTCCAGTAATCACATGCATGTTACCCATGTGCCCATGCCAACAACATATACTAACGCAGACGCATACCCACATAGCGAAACTCGTGTGAACACTCCCACACCATACCCACGTCGTGATGAAACGAAAAAATGACGTAAAACATGAAAAATTTTGTACCATTCGCTTCATGCTTAGCACTCAGTTTTGTCTGCACATGCTTCAAAATAGACAAAATATACAAGCCGAATTTATTCCTTCACTTCCAAAAAAATGTATCCCATAAAAAGTTCAAGCCTAGGTTGCAGACCCTGCTCAATGGTGACAACAGCAGAGGCACCTCGTCTCCCCCGTTGAGTTATGAACAAAATGTAGAAAACGAAGTGGAAATTAGAAAAAAAATAGAAGAAAAAAGAGAAAAAAGGGAACAAATTAAGAAAGAAAATATCTTGTTCATTAATAAGAATTTCAGATATGTAAGCAACAACATACCTATCAACGTTGAAAAGAAATACACATACGAAACGTTTAAATATAGTGACGAAATTCTTTCATATGTCTTTTTTGTAATAAATTTGTTCAAGCATGAACAGTATAAAAATAAAGTATACAAGGAATACTTACAGAATCAGGCTTCCCAGGGAAAATCAAATAGGAACACACACACGAAGGAACTTTTCCCCAGCCATTCCAATGGGACAAACAAATTGTCTGAAAGGAACCAAACACTAGTATCCCATTTTATACAAAAATTTGGAGATAAATTCAAATTCTTTAATACACCAGAAAGAATTCAAAGGGAAGATTGGGCTAATATGATTAAATTAGAACAGGAAGACAAAAATAACTTTTTTAAAAATATAAAAGTCAAAAATGAAAAAACGAAGGAGTACTACTTTGTTATTTATTCCTGCAATTGGCAATATGAATGTATGGCACTGTACAATGCCCTCCATCGCATTTTCCACAATTCTTATAACAATATTTATTTTTATAACATTGCGAATGGTGTAGATGGGAAAGACATACAGGCTCAAGGCGACGCAGATAACGTAGACCAGGGCAGTGAAAAGTCAATCGATGGGGGACATGTAATAACTAAGGAGGATATCGAAATGATAAAAGACATGTACATCAAAGATATGCAAAGTGGTGAAATAACCGATATGGATAAATTACTTAGCAAGGACGAGAACGACAAAAACCATGCAGAAACAGACTCGACGCAGGAAAATTCTAACACGAATCAACCACCCAGTGGGGACAAAGGGAGTAGTCAAACGAAGGATGGGTCGACGGAAGCACAAACAAAGCCGGATGAAAACAAAAAAAAAAGCTTCCAGGAAATAATGGCAGAAGAAAAGAAAAAGCTAGACGAAGAATTCTTTTTATATGGATACTCAAAGTATGAAAACATCGAGCAAATAAAGAAGGAAGAAGAAATGATAAAAGAAACGAAGAGAATTATTCAGGAAGAAAAGTCAAACCAGGAAAAGCTAAACAACGAGAGAGACTTCAAAAATATTCTAAACGATTTCACATTTCATATTAAAAATTATAAAAATATGTACCAATATGATACGGGTGGGGATGGTCAGAAGAAAGACCTGTCAAAAAATACAAGCACAAATCTGAGCGACGAGGAAAGCAGTGAACCTCCTCAAACGTTGTTCCAAGCAAACTCTGCCAACAACCAACCGGTTGAAGAAATGAATGCCAAACAAGAAGTAAACATAAATGTCATTTTTGTTCGTCTAAGCAACAGCACAGTGATAGCGAAGACCAAAAACATAAAGGAAAAAATTAAAAAGAAATGGATTTATTCGCACGAAAAGGAAATCAAATTTTACGAATTAATCCTCTCTGTTATGCTGAATGAAAATATCTATTACAAGGATATACCCCATATGGATATATTCTCTGTAACGTACGACAAGAAAAAATTATTTGACTTTTTTAATCAGGTGAACACAAACTTAAAGCACAGTTTTATTCACAAAAATAATGTGTACGATATTTACAATAACATTATCAATGAGAATATGGATGCCTACAATTTTGACATCCACGATGGGGATAGAATTTCGCAAACAGGAACTACATCGGATGACGATGTGCAAGGGGAAGAGTCTAATCCAAGCGGTGACATTACTGACTCAACCCCAAACGATGATGTCATTTTTGAAGAATTAAGTCTAGATGATGAAGAGGGAGAAGATTCTGGAAATTATGAAGTGATATATGATGGACGAATGAACGATACAAATAACATCGATGAACAACCACAGAGTACGACAACAAATGAAGCCGATAGCGAAGAAGCACATACCGCCTCACCTTCCTCGCCTTTAAAAAAAAAAGACCAAATGCAGTACAATGTTATTAACAAAAAACATAATAAAAAGGAAAGAAGTAAATACGAAACATTGTTTAAAAAAAAATACAATAATATATTTTCCAACACTATTAAAAATAATATTTCTATTGAAAAAATTAGCTCCATATCGAATGTCCAAACACATGCCAATTGTACCATCGACACGTTTAAGAATTATCCCCTGCGTGAAATTTTCCAAAACGTTTCCTCAAATGAAAATTTTAAAATTGATGAAAATTACGTGTACTACTTTAATTATAAAATACCCAAAGAAATATTTCCCTTTATCCTCCAAATGTCCTTAGCCTTCAAATATGAACACACCACACTTTTGATGAATGCCCCCAAAAAGGTGCAGTTCGAGTTCAGAAATGTCTAAGTGCAGGGCGCTACGTGTCCTTCGCCAATAATATAGAGACAGCACGCGCTGTGTATTATCTGTCTCTTTACGCCAGGTGCGCATGGTTAACGGATCACTGATCTGTTTCAAATGCAACTGGCCAATTAGTACCGTCACAATGTGCCTTATGTAGGGGCTTCATTTTTCGAAAGGCAGAAATTGCTCCATGGACGTTTAAACAGTGCGTTATATAAGCACATTATATTGCTTCTTTGACGTCCAAACGTGTTACAAATGTTAGCTTCCAACGCAGCAACCGCTTTGAAGTATTCCCGCAGCAGAAAAAACGTAGAAACAGAGCACAACCATTTGAATAACAACTAAGCGGTGGATAAACCGAGGATGGTGTGGAACCCCTTCACCCCTTCTTTTCCGTAAATCAACGCGTTAGACAAAAAAAAAAAAAAAAAAAAAATTGTAGAAATTTCTGCAAAGTTTTATATTAACAATGCACACATTTGTTTACACTCTATAAAGCTGAATGGGTGCCACTTTTGTTACATTTTTTTTTTTTTCCCATTTGGTCAATTTTCATTTGTCTGATAAAATGGCAATAATTATTGCAGCTTCTACATATTAGTTCCATGTTCGCTGCACACATTTCACATAGCCTACCCCGTCTCGTGGCTCGCTTTGCTTTTTTCTCTAAATTAAATACACCCAACAGGGTAAAACTTTTTAATGCACAATTTAATAGCATTAACAATTATCCATTTTTTATCAATGTGTTGTGTTATATATGAATACATATTTAAAAAAAAAAAAAAAAACAATGTGCAGTCATCCATTTTTTGTAGCCTCGTGCAGCTCCGCTATGTGGAATGGTAAACTTCCATTTGGGAAGCCCAGGGGTTACTCCTACATATGGGCCTCTTTCACAAACAAATATAAAAAGAGTCTGCACGAAAAAGGGAATAATTTATCCCTCGTATGCACAAAGCATGACAAATTATTACTAAGTTACGAATTATATTAGCGTTTGAAACGCGACTCCTAATTCCCTTCGATGTTCTTCTTTTTCAAACTAGCGTACTTAAAAATAGTTGCTAATTCTGTCAATTCTGAGGCAAAACTGTTTTCCTGGCACAGTTGCAAAAATTGGTCAGCATCGACATAATCGGCGTACGTACGTAAAAACACCAAGGACTCTTTTAACAGCTCCTTACTCATGTATGCGTTATTTTCACTTTTTAATTTTATCATTTTTTCACTTAGCATGGAAATTGTTTTATTGGTCAAAAGAAAAACCTTCTGAATGAGCTCATTCTTTTTATCTTCCAATTCTTTTATTAACATTTCATTTTCGTTCTTGGCTTGCTTCCTCTTCAGCTTGCTCTTTTCCACATCCGTGCATTCCTTCCTTATGATTAGATTGTCTATGCTTTCGTAAATCAGTTTGAGCACGTAGTATTCGTCTGCAAAAAAAAAAAAAAAAAACAACAAAAAAACAACGGGATGGAAATCGGTTGTATGCGGGGAATGGACATGGAGAAGCAAATATAAATTTGCAAGTGCTTACGTACGTAAGCCAATATTGGGATAGACCCCTAGCGTATAACTCACCTAAGCTGGAATCCTCCAATTTCACAAAAATAAAATGCATGACGGACAACTCCTGGACGATTTCGTTCTCAAGCAAAATCGCAACAATAGCGTTCAGCAAAATGGAGTTGTTAAAGTAGGCGTACACGATTGACAATAATTCTATTTCAAACTCGAGAACTTTCTCCTCAGATGTTAATACACCCGAATTTTTATAATTCGAAAAAATGACCGCGTGATTTTTGAACGTCTTTTTCAAAGAAGAAACATTTGAAGAATCAAAAAATATGAGAGCCTTAAAAAACAAAATTAAAATACTGTAACTGTTCCAACACTCATCACTATCTGTAAAATCACTTGGAACAATGTAGCCGTCAAAAATGCCGCTATCCAAATTCGTACTTGAAAGGTTATCCCATTGCTGAATATTTTTTTCTACGTTATCAAAATAATGGGGGACTTTGTGTAGACACGTTTTTTCATTTAAATAATTTAAAAACGTTTGAATAAAATTATTAATCGAATCTTTAAATTTGTCCAAAGCCCTCTGCTCAACATCGTTATTATAATCATCCTCTCTGCTCATGTCATAAAATTGATCTTCTATATTGTTAATCTCGTCAATGGAGTACTTCAAAATGGAGTTAAAAATGGCATACTCGTGAAAGGTTTCGTGATCACGATCCACATCACACTTAAAACTGTTGCAGTAGGTAATAACCGATTTGGGAATCAAATTTTCTAACTCGTTTTTATATATTAATGAACACGATTTAAAATAAAAATTTCGTGTCCACTTTCGGCAATATTTTTTTTTCACACTATACATTAAATTGGTGAACTTTTTTAAGTTTTCTCCCATGTCTAGATTTTCCAATTCCTCCTTAAAACTCTGGGAGTCAAAAATGTGTTTATTACCATCAGTTTGGTCATTTTCTGCGTCATCTTCTTCATCTTCACTTTCCTCTTCCTCATGTTCGTCCCTTTCATCTTTTTGCCCTTCATCAGCATCTTCATTTTCTTTACCATCATCCTCCTCATCCGAGCTGTACCTTACGTCCGCTTCAATGCAGAAGGGCATTTTGCAATCCAAGTTTTTCATCGCGTTCAGTGTGCTTTCATTTTTTTTCAGGATGACGGGGTTTCTCTTTGTGCCGGTGCCCGTGGCTCCCTGGTTGTCGCCGTCGTTGGGGTATTCATTAGGGTCTTCATTTGGTTGCACATTTAGCTGCTCATCTGGCTCCTCATTTGGATTTCCATTTAGCTGCTCATGTGCCTCCTCATTTGGATTTCCATTTAGCTGCTCACTCGGCTCCCCCTCGTCTCGTTTCCTCTTCTTCCTGTTTTGGTCGGGCTCCCCTCCTTCTTGGGTATCTTGGCCCATCTTCTGCAGGTTCTCTTCCTGCACTTTTAGAATTTTATTCATGTCATTATACCTCCTTTTAAAAAAGTTTTCCTTGCTCTTCAGAACCTTATTCTCGTAGGCAAAGTAGGACAACATGTATAGACAGAGCTCCATGAACAGATAAAAGGATTCGTTGTCCAACTTCCCAATTTGCTTCAAAACAAATTTAATACATCTGATAATTACACTCCCCAAATTTTTATTTATTAACAATAATCTATGAACAAGGGATATATAAAAGTAGTAATTTTTTTTATTAAATGACGATAGCAACTTGTTGATAATGCATTCGATTAACACATTATTGTATAATTTGCTCTGTAGTTGAACGTACAGGCCTAATATTTTGGAGCTGAATTCAACACTATTGTTATACAGTTCGATGATGTGTAAAATATGCTCTTGCATTAACCACACATCATGCACGTTTTTACTATCTGCATGCTTTGTCTGAAATTTAATTTGAAGACTGAAGATACTCTGCGCGCATTCGTAGTTGGCAAAGAATTCTACATTTGTGCACTTCTCGATAGCCATTGAAAGGGTTATTTCTTTCTTCTTGTAATTCTGTAGTGATGCAACACCAGAGGTGTCTTTACCAGAATTGTTTACATCGTTTTGCAAAGCGTGATCCCCTCCGCCATCCAAATCGTCATCTCCATTTTCTAGAAGAACAATCCTGTGAATATCGGATTCCTGTTCCTCACCAGATACACCATCCTCCAAACCCTCCTTCTTTAAAAATATATTTTGAAATATTTCCTTCTGATAAAACCTATGCGTTGCCACGCTTTTTAAATTATTCTCCACATAATTGTATAGCGCATTTTTCAAATAAAATAACCTATCGTAAAAATTATCACTATGTATAACACTGTTAATGTAGATGTATATATACTCGATAGTCGCCACATCATTATTGTCTAGGTCTATATTATCAATATGCTCTTGTCTTTTTTCAATTAAATCGAAACAGCTAGTAAGCATGTTATCCAAGTCCTCTTTATTCTCATCATATATCTGCTTCGATATATAAAAGAAATTGCTTAAAAACAAATACAATATATTGTCCCCCTTTATAAACTCCTTTTCCTTGTACAATTCGATACACAGTTGGTACAAATTTTTAAATAAATTCAAACATTGAGCAAATGGAAACACATGGCAACAACTTAAAGCGATTATACACCTTATCCATAATAAACAGTGCAGGGAGTTATCCTTTATAAAAACTTCTATATTATGATTTAGCTTCAAAAACAATTGCAGCTTCAGCTTCTCATTATCCTTCGTTATTATGCCCAATATAGTTGCATATATTCCTATCTTCACTGGCATGTAAAAAATGCACTCCAAAATGGCTTCAATGCATTGTGTTATTCTGCTCCTCTGTATTCTTTTACACAAATGAAATATGTCATCACTATCTATTTGCTTATCTCCTATTTTTATTATCTCATTTTTGATAATATGTAGCTCTATCTCCTCCATCGTTGTTTTTCCTAAATGGCTACCGGGCAGAGGGAGCTACCTTCTTAAGGTTGCCTTATACTGTGTATAGAGGGTAGACGTCGCCGTCGAGGTTATGTACTATGTCAGGATAAATAGAAAAGGGGGGGGGGAATATTGGGAAAGAATCCCCACCAAATGGAAAAAAATGCTCGGAATACTCTCAAAAGTATTCACACAAATTTTTATAAAAATAATCCCCCATGTAGGAATAACAAAAAAATAACAGAAAATAGTACTTCACTCCTTCCACAAACAAAGTAGAGGTTCAAAAAAAAAATAATTTACCACAAAAACGATGTGCTTATATTAAAATAACATCTTAAATTCGAGGGGGAAAACGACTGATGGCTTCATAATTTACCAAAAGTATGCATACGTACTTGTAACCCAAAAGGGGCCAAACCATTTAGCGTCACACGAAATATTAAAACAATTAAAAGGTGATTAATGTGATGAATGAATATTAGATGCGGGCAAAGCGGAAAAAAAAAAAAAAAAAAAAAAAAAAAAAAAAAAAAAAAGGCTATTTATCGATCAGCGTATACATCAAATACGCATTAAAGTAACACCGAGTTCATGCAATCTACGGATACAATAAAATTCTCGTGTTCACTGCAAAAAATTGTTAATTAAAAAGAAAACTCGCTGGCAAAATAATACAGCATGGAATAGAAAAAAGAGTAGAAAACTTAAAAACAGGTTTTTGTTTAAAAAAAAATTAACACAACAATGAGCTTGGGTGGGGGCGCGCAACACAAGGCGGACTGCACCACATAAAGAAAATTGTTTTTTCTCAACCCTGTCAAAAAAAATACCACCAAAAATGTAGAACTGGGGAAGGGTAAAAAAATAAAATATATATGCCACAAATGATAACCCTGTTTAGAACTGTAAATTCCCCCAGGAGTTATGTAACAGCTAAAAAATTAACATTATGATAAAATTAAAATGTTCACCAAATAAGTGAAAAAAGTCCTTGGTTGGTCAATTTTCCGCTTCATCAAAGGCGAATAACTGCAGCTGTGAACCCTAGCTGGTAACGTACAACCACATTGTGGTCACACAACAATGAATTACAATGAGATGAATGGTGCGTTGTAACAAGTCCGCCAAAAAAAACCCTCCGTATGGAAGCATATTAAACGTGTAAAGTGTTATCTACCCCAAAGGCTACCACACGTGAGAAGATGTTCCCCCACGAAATCTACGTCCCCGTCTTACACAGAAACCCGTATGTGCTACCACTTCGAATAAGCTCTTTTCCCAATATATAGGAACATCCTTGTGTAAGTTGTTGTATGCACCACGTCCCAATACAGTGTAAACTTAGAGCTGCTAATAATTGCACTGCTAACACGTTTATGTGTGCGTAAAAATATGCACTGTGAGGGATAAATATGTCCACACAGCTGGTCTTCCATGTCCATTAATACGGGGTCTGTTCTAACATTACGCGGAGTTTCCATTCTTGTGAAACCGCTGACCTTGCTACCATTTCTCATATCAAACTGATGGCATAAGGCCTACTCGAATGGCACACAAATAGTACTTTGCATAATCTTACCACTAGAAATGATGCGAAAATAACGATTGCACCTTCTATCCCACAAGCATGGGCTGAAACGCTCAAAAAAAAAAAAAAAAAAAAAAAAAAAAAACGGGATCACCCACTTGGATCACAGTTTAAACAGTACTACATACCAACAAATGTTCTGTTTGACTTTCGCAAAAGCGTCATAAGGTTAATGTTAAGAGGAACAAACGTATCTGCAAAATGCACCACGCATATGCACACTAGGGTTAAAAAGGGGGCAGCAAGAAGTATACATGCATACCTACATACATACATACACACACATATATATATAGGGGGCGAAACAAATATCTGAGGGTGTCTACAAGGAAAGAACAACCATTTACACGCAATTAGAAGTGGGTCATAGAAAACAACAGTTGGGGGAATTAACCCCCCCACACAGTCTTTACAAAAAAAAATGCGGGTAATTGAGCATTATGGAATACCGCAAATTCTGAATAACGTGGTCGGGAAATACAAACAACTTGGACTTTTCTCGTATCTTAAAAAAAGTGATAAACACAAAGGTGGGCAAGCCAGAGCTCACATTATCACTCTTCTCAGTTTCATCAAAAAGGCCGAAACCAAATTCTTTAATTCTTATGCCCAAGCATATCTCCTTATCGCGCTCATTTTCATAACCGTAAGAATTGTACATGCACAAAAGTATGTTCAGTATGTCCATCAAATGATCAAATGCTTTCTTCGCTTTGTTTCTCACAATGGAGAGGTAAATATAATTATATACCTTTTCCCACATGTCTACCTCACCTATTTGGTGCAAATATATTCTGTTACAAAAAAGGAATTGAAAAAATGTTTTCAGTACAGCTAAAATGTTCACATTATCCTTGCTAATCTCAAATAAGAGGCATATGAATTTTTCTATGTCTTTGGAAAAAGACGCTTCTTGCCCGATTGGGAGTAAACTTTGTTCGCATTTCTGTAAATCGTCCAGACTGCTTCGCTCGCATCGCCAATATTTTTTTGTACCACCTTCTCCTTCCACGGCCTCTTCAAAGCGCATACCTTTAACTATATCCTCCTGCCGATACTCCTCATTTGTTTCGAATCGAAAGTTATGGAGGTGATCCATTTTAAAGAGCCTGTTTAAATACTGATAATTAAAAAGGTGCAGCCAAGTCCTCATGTCATTTTCCCTGGACAGAAAATAGCAGAACAGGCACATCCCCAACTTAAAGAAGTGGACACATAAGCTGCTATCATAATTAGCGATACTCTCACGACAGCTATGGAAGTATTTATTTATAAAAAAAAGGACGCACTTGTATAATTTTACAAAATTTAAATTTTCCAAATAAGTAGAAGGAATATTAAAAAGGAATAGGTATATGTGCTGAAAAAGCTCAAATTCTCGTATATCCATAACGGCGTCCAAAATGTCATTGAACATGCTGTAAATCTCTCCTTCATCAACTGAAACCACTTTTTCAATTACTTGACGGTTGACGGACACCTTTTCCAATTTTTTCCCATTCGCCTTACTTCTAATCAAAAGGAAGAACATAAAAGTAAGGCATTTTAAAAGCGCCAAAATGGAAAAAAAGCAAAGATCACCTTGGCCATTTCTGGCCACCCTAAACAAGTCCCTTATCTTGCAGTACAAATTTAAAAATTTCTCTACATTTTCTTGTTCCAACTGGTCGCAATTTTCACACTTATACATGTCAATGAAGAAATCGACAAATTTTTCTATCGATGTAAAGCATGCCTTCTTATCTTTCGTAAAGGTGGAATCCAAGAAGGTGTAGAACTGTTCTACGAAATCACTAAAAAATTTGTAAAAGTGAAAAATGTTTCTCTTCTGTAAAATTTCGTAGACATCTTTATAATAATTATTATCAACGTTTTTCATATTCTTTATTATAAAACTTGTGGCAATTAATTTGGACTCCATTTTTTTTAGCAGCATTTTATTTTCTTCTTCGAAGATTTTTTTCTTCTCCTTTTCCTTTTCCCACACGGAAACAATTTCGGTTGTAAGAACATTAGTCACTGCCCCACGCACATGTGCTGAGATGACCACATTGTCGTTCGACCCAAGTGATGTTAATTTTTTTTCAATATACATCCTAACCCTTTCTTCTCCATCATTCCCCTCATGTAAAACTACGTGCGGCTCGACTATAGTGGGGCTTCTTACCAGTTCACCTATTACGGTTAAAAGGGGAAGACAGTTCGACGCCCCAGCATGCTCCAAGTATTTATCTTCACAACCCAATGGTGGACCTCCTATTTCTTGCTCCACCTTCGCCTTGAAGCTGCCTCCACTGATAAATTCTTTCACCTGGCAATTCACACCATGAACCATCTTTAAATCTTCGTACTCCTTTATATCACCTACTCTCCTTTGGTCCCTGAAAATATGTTCATCATCCAAATCGAGAAGGTATTTCTTCTTCAGCAAATAAAGGATTACTTCACTGCAATAATTTCTAGCCTGCTGCGCATCCCTTATATTGCGAATCGATTCGAAATTCTCACCTAGCAATGTACAGTGCACAAACCTTACATAATGGTAGAATGGGATTCTGTGCACCAGGTAGTACACCAGGTCATTCAAATTGGACAGGTAACAATTACACAAGTGCTTTGAAATAAACTCCGTAATGGTGGAAAAAACTGTGATGCAAAATTGCACATTTAAAAACGCATTACCCTTTAGTAACACTTCGTACCTGTCTAGTAACTTCACAATTACAAAAGAAACACAATTTAACATAAACTTACCCACGTTATTTTCTTCAAATAAAAATGAAAAAATATGTTTAACACTCTCTTCGATGTCTGCTACATGTGCATAGTTGCTGATTATTTTCTCTAAAATTTCTTTTTCCTTTTCTAAATTATTGTACTTTATTAATTTGACAAAAAATATTTCTTTTTTTGTGTAGTTATCATCCTTGCCCTCATTTGGTATTGCCAGATCGGTATAATCTGTTTCCACCTTTTCACTGTTGTGTATATAAAATTGCAGCAACGCCTTGACGTCGAATCTCAAACCATCTGATGACAGAATGCAACTGTTTAGGCAGTCTCTAAAATATAACTCTACTTTTTTGTTCTTTTCAAAATTTGCGTAATACTGTAGTAATTTTTCTAATATTTCATTCTTGTGGCTATCTCCTTGTGAGTGATCCTTCTCAGGAGTCCCTTCTTCTTTCTTACTATGCAGCTTCTTTTTGTATGCTTCTCCATTTGGGCGAGTTCCCACTTGGTTTCCAGTCCTCCCTACACTGCTCAAAGTGGATAATCCGCTACCCCCACCACCGACGTTATTATCCCTCTGTGGATTACTGAACTCGGTAAAAAACCTAACACACACACTTTTAAATGTATTCAAAAAGGTTATGCATATTTCCTTGTTCATCAGGGATGACTCAATTACGGCACAAATGAAGGACAAACAGGAGCCAATTTTTTGGCAAAACATTTTTAAGTCTATCTTCTTAAGAATATCTGTTACGAAAATCAACATGGCATCGTTAATTAGCTCGTCATGGTTAACCGCGACGAAGGTGGTCAGCTCTGTATTCAGAGCATCCATCACACAAGCAGAATCGGTGGAGTTGAAATTCATTTGTAAGAACTCTCGCTCTACCCGTTTCATAGTCCTACTCACGTCCGCAACCGGTATATATTGAAAAATTTTTAATTTTATTATTTCGTGTCGCCCTTTTATAGCACGTACTAACAGCTCCTTACAAATGGCCTTTACGATATTACACAGTCTTTTGTTAGCCTTCTTAAAATCGTCCACACTTGAGTAGTGCGCGAACTTATACGGGTGAACCTGGTAACTACTTCCATCTTGGTCGTTGTTGCTCCCCCCTTTTAATTTACCCAACAAGTAACTCATTCCATATATGTCCAATTCTCCAGCGCCGTATTTCTCCACGTCATGGGTGAAAAAATCCCTCATTTTTTTGTCGCACTTGTACAGCGCCAAGTCAGAGTACTGCATGAACAGAAAGGCATACACATAGCTAACGCAGTGCCTGGCCAGGGATGTATAATGCCCAATTAATTCAATGTTCCTTTCGCTACTAACATAATCATACACATTGTTCAAGACGTAGTCTTTTCTACTTTCAAACTTCTTTATTTCGTTTATAAAATTATTATCTACTTCTTTTTCCTTCTTTCTAAAATACGTCTTGTATAACAAATTTTCAGTTGCATCACTGAAGCTGCGGTATACCCCTTCGGCGAATTTTTCCATCGTCTCCGTGTCCACCATTGTGATAGACACACCGATGGAGCTCCGGGTTTTACACTCTAACGTCGCCTGTTCTTCCGATTCCTCTTTGTTAGGGATTCTACCCGTGGATTCTCCCAACATGGATACATCATCAATATAATACTTTGCCTCCTCCAAAATATTGCAACTCATTTTTCGGTCCTTCCTTAGAAGCATATTTTTATCTTTCGAAAATTTTGCAACATTTGAGAAGGATTCCATGTTCCTCGTACTAGCAAGCTCTTCTGCATCGTTGCACAATATAGTTACTCCATTGTCCTCTTTAACAGATGTGCTTTTCCCCCTTCTCGTTTTTCCTCCCTTTAAAAACCAAAGTATTTTCACCAAATTGTCCACATCATTAATATCTACAATACACTGAACGGAAAGGGCAAAAAACAAACTGCTTAACCCCACAAAGCAGTACTCAGAATATACATCGCTCCTTAATTTGATAAACGAAATGAAAAACTCCTCTATGGATGCATAGTTCCTCCTAACGTGTTCCAAAAATGGGTTGTAATTTATAACATAGCATAATATTATGCACAGAAATTTGTTTTCATCATTTGCCTTCTTTTGCGTGTGATCCAAAATGGAACTTAAAAAATCGGATGCTATCTTATCCGCATAACTTTTCTCTAATCGTAGAATCATGTGCGATATGTAACGACCATACAGTTGTTGAATTTGTAAATTATCAACATGGAAGGACTCCTTTATATCCTCCTTTAGAATAACATTTATCCCGTCATCTCTGAGCGTGGGTAAGCAGCTTAACACACTTAACACATTTTTCACTATACATATATTAGCGCTATTTAAATTTTCTTTGGCATATTTCAGTATCTCCATGAGGACCTCCACTATGTATCCCATTTGAACAGCGCAATCTTCTCCCCCCTGGGGCAATTCTGAGTACTTACTTTCCTTTACCATTTTAAGCCACGCATACACAAAGTGTCTCGAAAAAAACACCAAACGGAGGAACTTAAAACAGTACCTCAACAAATCGGAGTTTTGAATTCTTTTCTTTTCCTTCACATAGTTATGATGTGTGTGAAGTAAACAATTCGTAACAAATTCTACAACCTTGGAATACCTCTCATCAATTTCTTTTTCCTTTTTTATTAAATACCCAAATAGATACATATGTGCGCATAGTACGTGACTCTCCTCCTTTGATTGTTCTGCTACTTTTTCCACATTTTCTGCAGTGAAGCCAATCACTAGGTCGTCAAATAAGTTCCCATCCGTTCCCTTCCCTAGCAAATATATTTTGACCAACAATTTTGTTGCCTTCTTTACCAACTTGTGATTTCCTACGTACAGCATGTTGCTTAAAATTAACTGCATTCTTGTCTTTGCTAATATGACCAAATGGGTGTACAGCCCCATCTCGCACTTTTCCAAATTTTCAAATTGTTCTCTCCTAATATTCGAGTCTACTTCTTCCTTTTTGATTCTCTTCAGGAAGGTACGTAGCTTTTTCAAAATCAGCGTAAAAACGGAGCAGTACACAATTAGGTAATCCTCCTTAATATTCCTTTCACGATTTACCGTCCCCATTAGAAACAGGTCCAGTATCAACAGGGCATAATAGACACTTTCAACGTAAGAGAAGGGGAAAAAGGTTATCTTCCTGTAGTACTCAATCAGATTGTGCAGTTGGTCTAGCCTATACTCTGCATAATGCGTGTTTACATATTCGATACCAAGGTCTGTATTTTGTATGTCAACCCAGCTGGGTTCCGTTATTTGACTGTACTTTAATGATTCTTCTTCGCAATTTCCTTCGTCATAATTCCATTCGTCGTAATTTTCCCCGTCACAAATCTTATCAACGCAACTATCCTGGCCGCTGACCCCCCAATAAGATGCATCACACAGGCGAACCACACAACCGTCCTTCACACGAAACAACTTTTTGGAAATAAAAAAGGTGTACTCGTCAAATGAAATTGTCTTCTCCCTCTTCTGACCTTTCAAATAATCCCTTGCTAAGTCTGACAAAACGACGTTACTACTCCTTTCAAACAACAGTGGGTAGTACACACATTCACAGCTCCCCGCGGCAAATATGCTAACGGCCCATTTCATCACCACACTAATTAACAACGAGTTATCTACGAACGTAACAAATTGGTCCAATAAATGCTCAACATTCTGCGCTATTATTTTTCGAATGTCTTTTCTATATTTGGGAGCAACTTCTTTTTTCTTCCCCTTCAATCCAAGCAGTCCATTTTGTCCTGATGAAATGGAGTTACCCATATGGTCACGCCATTCCTCATTTTGCTCCATACTATTTACAAACGTCTCCGTTAGTTGGACTTCCGCCACCTGCATGCACCTCTGGAAGTACTTCTCCAAGGCTAATAGTACTCTGGTTATATTATTGTGCTGTATGTAAGATTCGCTGCTCCTCCTCTTAAACCTTTTCAGCTTGTCAAAGAAGGAGTAGGCCAAAGTGTAGGCCCTTCCCAACACGGTCATATTAATTTTGTCCTCCTTCAAAAGCTTTTCGAAAAATTTATCTATCATAGTAGAGATATCTGTAAGTGCCCCGTAATTCTCATTACCATCATGATTTGCATCCGTTCCTTCCTCATCCAACCCTTTGAGGTAACAAAAAATGAGGTGGAAAATGCACTCAACATACTCATGCAAAAATTCATTTGGAGCTTTTTCCAGAATAAACAACATTAAGCTGAAGAGGCATTTTTTCAAATCTTCATTTTTTAGCCTGATGATGGTGTATCCACTCCGATTTAGAAATTTTAAAAACTCTGTTTTGTCATGGAACAAAACTTGAAACTTGGAAACCTCTGTCTCAAAATGGATGTTCTTCATATCATGAACAAAGTGGAAGAACAAAAAATATATATAACTCATCAACGAGTGCAAGTGCTCCCCATCGATAGCTATCTCAGAACTGTTCAGAAATAAGGTCAAAACTTTTACCACATACTCCACTGGGTACATATTATTATCAAAATATTTCATTATGTCCAAATTTGTGGCTATAAAATGGATGTCATTAAAATTTACAAATCGTTTCTTCCCAAGTAGCAGCGAATTGGCATACTCCTTAATTTCGTCATACTTTTCAGTAGAACAAATAATGTATGAAGCATAACTCAGATTGTGATTGCACACAAAACTACTCAAAAAGTATAGCGTATTCTTCTTCATTTTTATATGATTTTGCACCGAGTAATTTTTACTATTTCGAAATTTATCCTTATATATCTTAATAACATCACTTGGAAGAAATTTTATTTCCTCCACATTTTTGCAATATATTGGTATTGCCAAAAATTCATTCATGTGTTTTATGAACTGGAAAAGCTGATTGTCCAATACAACCTTTTCCTTATTACCCTCCCCTGAAAAGTATGCCTCCATCTCCTTCTTATTCCTTTCGTCATTTAGAATCTCCAAACATTCGATAAATTTTAGCATCATAAGGATACCCATTTCCCTGTCCGCTGATAACTCGGCCCCATTTTCAATTAGCGCCTTTTGACATTTTATCTTCTCTCCATCGTTTACGCTCTTAAAACCGATATCTAAAAATATAGACAAGGTACTGTTATATAGGATTCTATTCCCCTTCGCTTTGCCCACGTGTTGGAAATAATTCCGCACTATGTCCGACAAGGGCAGGTCAATCCGCTCAAACGATTTGCATCTCAAAATACAGTGACTCACAATTTCTATCAGTGTTTTAGGAGGAGTCCCTTCGGTAACTAACAATTCGTTCAGCAGCACGGGGATGAACTGGAAAAAACAAAAAAAAAAAGCATAACGAGTAAAGTTACCACATAATATTGCAACCCATCTAGTATAAGAAAAAACAAAATGGACAACACATGATGCCGCATCAAGCTACATATCCCTTTCCACAAAACACCCATCTCAAACGCCACGTAACGTTACCTTATACAAGACAGGCTTAATCTTGTCATCCTTCGTCAAGCACAAATGTAGGAGAATATCCTCGTAGCTCTTTTTCTTGACTTCCCCGTCTGACATTTTTGGAGCAAAATTTGGCCAAAAAAAACAAAAACCAAGCGGAAAAATGTGCAAACTCGGTTAGGAGAAAAATATCTAAAAAATGATCCACTTATTTTATGCAATTCTTATCATCCTGCACTTATATGTTAGCTTCAAAAAATGGAGAAAAAAAAAAGATCAACGAAGTAATCATACAAAGAAGCCTTCCCTTTTAAGCATACCCCTATCACCATCTTAAATCTGCTCCCCATGAACTTCATAATGAGGCACGGGAATCATCACGTACATTTGCTACAAGCAGGAAAAAAATATATGAAAGGAACAAAAAATGAGAAAAACATTTTGCCAAAATTGAACAAGTTAAAGCCAAGCACTCGTAATTCTGACTTGTGCAATAGATTGAATTTAAAATTGTGAAAGAAAAAAAAATAAAATAAAAACAAAATGAAATAAAACACCGTTTGATGTTACCTCTTCCATGAAGGCACCCTCAGTTCGAAATTGCGACCTGTGCACATAAAACTATATGCGGGAAATTAATCCATGTTACACTTTTCAATTTCACAAAAAAAAAAAAAAAAAAATCGCCTATGTTGTTGACGCAAAAAAAGTGTACATACCTGAGGGCTACATACGCTTCTACTTCTCCTACAATAAGCGTGAGAAATAATTCCCACACAAGAAAGCATCTTTATGGTCGTCTCATGTTTTGTACTTTTCTTAATTATTTCCCATGTTGGCGTATACATCTCACCTGTGAATTTTCAAAAGGGAAAAGTTCAAGCACAGCCATTGCATAAAGGGAAGGAGGAAAAAAAAAAAAAAAAACAGTCCCCTCGGGAATTCTGTTCACAAAATTATTTCTCCTTTTTAATAAATCTTTTATAAAAATGTTTCATTCCGCCGAAGTGTCTGATAATTATTGTTTAGTTCTTTTCCACCCTTTTTTTTCTGTTTTATGTTATCTTCTTGTTTAACTCTTCAATTATTTGTTTAATCAGCTCATGCCTTTTTTTTCTTTGGACTTATTTGTTTCTCCCCATTTGTTATTTAGCTACTCATAACATAGTGAGCACATTGCAAAATACCTGTCCACACCGCATCACCATTATGCAAACCAACACACTGTCTAAGAAAAAAAAAACAGAAAAATGAAATGCCTCCCATTCCCATGCAATAGCAACTATTACTATGATGCCCTTTCCAATATCGTCCCATCTGATGATGAACAATTAGAAGAGCTAATCAACAAAAGGAGCAGGCAAAAAAATGTATACTACAAGTTAGAGAAAACTATCAACCAAATAATACACGACACGAAAAAACACTCTGACGTTAATTCAGATTTTGAGCAGGTCGAGAAACTTCCAAACCAAAATTGCGAATCCATTTATTCGGATGACTGTCTAGACGACATAGACATCATTTTGAAAAAGAAAAAAACTAAAAATATGTTCTCAAGGTTAAATAAAAATGACGCCCCTGGGCACATCTCACTGCCCTCTAAAAATACCAAACAGAGAATTTATTCTTTACGTCAATATAGCCAAGAGGCAAAAGATGTAGGCGGCACAATTAATGACCAGAAGCACAACCCAGAGGTTGAGCTACCAAATGAAGAAATAATTGAAAATTTTAAAAATGTTCTTTGCAACGGCTTAAATAAATACATTAAGGATATGTTCCAAGAGGCAAAACAAGATTCCCCTACTAAAGAGACATACGAATCTAACGACTATGCAAATATGAACAGCTCATACTACAAAACATCTCATACTAAGAATGACGTTTTTAATGAGGAAAGTGCCAACCGATGTGAAGCTCCCCCTGAAGATAATCCAAATCTCAGCGGAGAAAATTCACTAAAATATTCCAGTTTTGAACTGCTAAATCAAAAAAATGAAAATACACATGAAAGAAAAACATACGACACGGAACAAACATTTCAGGTTAACACACGCAGGAGTGATAAACCGTCAACAACCGCCTGTCCTGGGACGCGAAACAAAAATGTATATGCAACCCAAGCGGCAGTTACCAAGAAAGACACCAAATTGCAGAAAAAAAACTACAGACATAAATGGACAAATATGAACAGATCCAAATATACGAAAAATATTTATTTTTCGAAAAGAAAAAAATGGAAAAACGAAAATCCTCTCTCCTTAAATGAAATGAAAACGGTACGCTGGAAGGATACTACCGAAATGTACGATAAGCGAGCGAACGTTCCCATGGGATACCTAGAACGACACTCCATCAAATCCTCAGGAGGGATTAGCAACACAAATGGTAATACTTACAAAGGTAGTACAAACAAAAAAAAAAAAATTAAATTAAGGACATTCCAATTGTGTGTACATTGATAAAACTTATGAATGTTCACACCACCAAAAAGAAGCACACCTCCCTCATATGATATTATATTTCCTTTTCTCTTTAGCCAAACGCCCCGCACTCAAACAGCAGCACACATACAATGCATCGAGAACGAACTGCACGTCTAGCTCAAGTGAGGATTTTCTCTTCAGCCATTTTCAGAAAAACGCCAACAACGATAATTTAGTAGGAAAGTTCCGTTTTTAAGTGGATTCCCATGCTAAGGTACATTTCTTTTTTAAACGTCCTAAACTGCTCAAGCGGCTCAAGTGCACTTTTCACCACAATACACAGGCCTACCTAATCACGCCTCTGTCCTTTAGTGTACATTCCAAAAAGACAGTCCACAAACATAATTCTCAAATGATCAAACTTGAAAAACAACGCGTTTTATACGTCTTTATATGACCCCTTCCCCTCGTCCAAAGGTTAACTGAAGCAGTTCGCTTATAGGACAAGTAAGGAAAAATTTGAGTACAGGGTAGGCGAGTTAATGACGGAATGGTGGAACAGAACCATTGCCACAGAAATTTTCCAATTACATATTATAAAAAAAGTAACAAAAAAAAAAAAAAAAAAAAAAATGGGGAAATTTTACTGCGCTTTAAAGGAAAGCAGAATCGGAACAAATTGACATATTAAACAAATTCAAACGCAAAAATGAGGCGAATTATTGTCTTTAATACGAAAAAAAAAAGAAACATGGAGAGGGATTAATTATATGATCAAACTGGTCCTCTAAACATGCACACGTCTCAAAAAAACAAAACAAAGTCGAGCATTAATTCATCACGCAGCAAGTGAAGTATTTTGCTACCGCTTGGCCATCGCATTACCTTTGACCCTTTTCGGGCTTATCACTGCGACGGATGCACGTAAATATGCTTAGCCTTGGCTAGAGGGAAAAAACAAAACGCGTCGTCCTCCAAGTGGTAATAGCAAAAGTTTATTTTGCACTTAACGGGCAAAGTGGAAGAGCAATCAAAATTAATTTGAACATTTTTCTTAAATTCAACAACTATCGTACTTCTAAATGGTGTTGCGCAACCGCTCGGGCTGTCACCTACACATTGGAAACTTGTTACGTTCCATTCGCTAACGTCTATTTTGTGATAATTCAATTTGTTTATTTTTTTCAATGGATCGCTTCGCCTTTTTATCTTTTCCTTGCTTTCTTTTCCTACGTTACCATTGTGCTCATTCAAATATTTGTCCTCCAGTTCAAAGTCGGAGGTATTCTTCACATTTGAAATTTCCACCTTTGCTTTTTTTCGTTTTGCGAACAGAGAATTCTTTGTTTCCTTCTTGTTTGTCTTGCTCATATTTTTTAAATTCTTCAGAGAATAATCTTCCGCAAGAACATTTTCAACGATAAAATTGTATGTTGTCAAGTTATTCCTGTGCCGCCTGCTTTGGCATTGGCTAGTGCTGGGCGGACAAGGAGTCTCCCCTACTTGGCACTTCTCCCTATTCACAAGGAAAATATCCTCATACTCTATATACAAAAATAAGCTACTAAAAAAGTACCTAACATGGTAAGGCAAATTTAAGAGGACATTTTTAAAATTCCCTTTATCGATGTGTTCCAAAAATGGAGACGATTCAATTTCGAGGGATAAATTAATTCTTATATCAAAAAAGGACAAAAAAAGAAAAGGAAAATTCAAACACTTGTTATAATTTATAAAATTTGTATTCTTCAAATGTTTTAAAATAATTTTTAATATCTTGTTTAATAAAACGTTTACTGAATATATATTATTCGCATTTTTGTTGTCTTTTCCGTTTAGCAGTTGATCCACCCCAACTAATACATGATTAAATTGTTCCATCGAATCCACAGCTTTAATTTTCTTTCCTTTCTTCCCCTTACACATAAAATTGTAAAAAAAATTATTCTCCTTAACCTCAAAATTGTTCCATACATTTTGACCACTTTGAGTAAAATTGTAAAAGCAGTCTTTCAAAGTGTTAAACAAAACAAAATTCTCCTCGTAGATTTTACTTATGATGGTGTGAATTATCTGCGATATATTTCTTGTGTAAAAATAATTTGCACTGAACAGGTAATAAATTTTAATCAATTTTTTGTTTATTTTATGGTTTACATTGATAACCTTTTTATGGTAAAAATACTCCGGAAATTTCGTCTCAAAATTTATAATTTCCTCTCGCCTTGGAATTCCATTCTTCTTTCCATCATGCAAAATTTTTATTTTGGATTTCAAAAATTTAAACTCTGCAACATTTCGCCTTTGTAAGATGTCTCCTCGTTCCATCCTCTTACCTCCTTCTGTACCGCTTCCACACAATGTTACAACGTGGTTACTCAAGCCATGCGGCTGAATTATTTTTTCTCTTTTGTCTTCACCGTAATTATGTTCAGACGCTCTAAAATTGTTAGCGTGTTTAATGCCCTGGTCATCCCCTTCTTCAATGGACCAATGCAGTTTGTCCCCCAAACAGACAAAGTCTTTCCTATTTTTCTGCTCCATTTTTTCATTCCTCTTAATAGTCGCATCGAGAATATTACTTGTTTCCTCAAACGTGATAGACAAATCAACAGTTGTATCCTTTCCAACGGGGCTACCACTCCCAGGGTGTTGCGCAAAACTGCTTCGTCTTTCCTTCCCTACGCTGCTGTTCGAAAGTTCCCCCTGATTCGCTACACTCTGATGAGAGGATGGCACTTCCAAGCAGTCGGTTACCGTTTCTACAAACCGATCGTCACCCAAAAAGAGATCATTCAATGATGTATCCCCCCTGTCGAAGCAGCACAAATGGTTGAAACCCGTCTTCTCCTGCTGTACTAACCGAGCAGAAATCAATTCAACACTAATTTGTCGCAAATACTCCTCATAGGGTCCAATAGGCAGATCATTCGGCGGGTAAAAATCCCTCAACATAATTTGAAAAAAAAGATTACTAGCCATCTGATCCTCTATCATGTCCGATATACGGCGAGAATATTTCATGTAGGGTTGTTTAAAATGTATTAAGTCTCCATCCGGGTCATCCTTTGTTTCATCTCCACACGAAGCGACCTTCATATTGCTGTTCATTTGTCTCCATTTGGCCATTAAATGTCGTCCTAAAGAGACTCCCTCTTCTAGCTTCTCACTCACCTCCTGATGCTTCTCCACCAATTTGGTACCCTCCTCCGAGGCGTTAAACACACAGTTCAGCATACCCACCAATTCGCTACTCTCATTCACGTAGTTAAAATTTGAATCCTTAAACATTTCTAAATATTCCAAAAAGTGGTGTGTCTTTAAATTTGATCGATCGTGCAATAAGTGCCATATATTTTTTTTAAAAAAAAAACAATTTTCTCCAAAAAAGGAAGCATTCTTGTTAAACAAAAGGTTAAGGATACTAGATATGTACACATAACAAAAACTCCATTCTCGATCACATATGCTCGGTTGGACACAGTGCGGGTATTCTAAAAAGGCGTACATTTGATGGGTTAGTAATTCAAGTGCCACCTCTTCCTTACATGGAAGGCTTTGCATCCTACCCGCTCTGAAATTGGTATCCACCTGGTTTACCTGACTGGTGGTATTGCACACTTTTGTCGTTTCATTCGTTTTACCCCTCCTGTTATCTATGAACGCAGCCCCATCCTTCTCGTCCCCTTCGTTGGTGCCCGAAAATTCACTCGATCGACTTCCCTCATAGTCCTGCTCCTCACCATCAACACGACCAGCAGCACTTCTTATCACACTCAACATATGGGAATTAACCTGGGTCTGTCCCTCCAAAACGGCATTCAAAACACCACTCGATATGTAGTACCCAAATCTGTTCGACCAATCGAACAAATTAAAATGAGGTACACAATTATCACAGTTCTGTACAAAATTTTTTCCAAATTTGTTAAAAAAGAAAGAAAAAATCAAACTCGGGTATTTAAATGACAGTACAATCAAAACGGAGTAAACAGAACACCACTCTTCATTGTTGTGTATCATGTGATCTACAAGATACACCTCATGCTCGTTAACATTATTGTAATCTTTCGCCTCGCCAAAGGAGTCCTCATTCGTTGGGTTAAGTGACGGATGCGTATTGTATTCATCTGTGATACTACTACCTGTACCTCCCCGGATGCCACTTCCGCTACTAGCGACCCCATCCCCTGTACCACCCGCACAGTCGTTCTCCTCCCCCAAATTCCTTCTCAAAGAATCATCAGATATACTCTCAAAGTCCATCAAGTGGGTGTTCGTCTTATAATGAAAATTATAAATGCACAAGTTGCTCAGTAAATTCAACACAACGTACAAACCATTCTTCTCGTATTCACTGTAGCATAGCATGAGGAATATAAACTTCCGCCTTTCCTTATTCAAATTCTTCAAAAGGACAGAAATATATTTATTAAAAAAACTTTTATTTATTGGAATGATATGCGAAATCTTGCTAACCAAATAAGTCACGTAACTAAATATGTGCACATCTATGTGATTAAAAAAGAACACAATGTTTTTTTGTATTATTTCACATATCTCTTTATCTTGATACATGTCCACGAACAAATTGAAAATCCTAAGGATGAAGAGCAAAATGTGTTGTTCATCCTCATCGTCTATTTTGTTCGTCAACCAACCATTACTGGGATCGCTATTAAAAATCGTTTCAAAATTTGTTAACAAAATAGAGTTCTTTGTTCTGTACTCCCTTACCTCTACATTCCTGTTGTTTCCAATTTGGTCATTTGTCCAGCTTGAATTTACATCAGTTCCATTTTCGCGCCAATTATTCTTTCCCCACTGCTGATTTGGTATATTCTTCACATTGGCTTTATGCAAATTAACGTTTTCTTTTTTCGCCCCCATATTTGTATTCACACAACTGGGTTGGGAAGCATACCCCTGTTGAGCACTTTGCTTATTGGAAAAGTCTCTCCTCCCTGCATCGCCGCCATCCTGCGTGTACACCTCTGAGCACATGTAGTTGCTTCTAAAAAAACTCAAGTAATACTTTTGCAGGTTTATCATTTTCCCCGTGGTGTGTCCCCTAAACATGGTGCTCTTTTTGCCGACCAGGCTTCCCATAATTAGGGTTCTGCTCAACGGGGAAAACACTGCAGAGGTGGCTTCATCAATCGGTTCCCTTTGACCGAGTGAGTTGTCCTTTACCTTGTCCATAACAGTATTGCCTAGACGGTTCTTCATTAGTTTGCCCACGTCATTCGCTACTTCCCGTTCTACCCCTTTATCTACCGTCTTTCGCCCCTCCCATGCCCCCAAAGAAGTCTCATCCTCCGCGCGCTTCCCTTTCAACATGCCCAACACGCAGTAAAATGACTTCAGGGACTCCACACGGACCATGGTACTCTGGCTTTCAGCACAAAGCGAAAACAGAGTTACAAACGAGTTTAACATTTTAAAAAATATCTTCTCGTCATTATTCACAGCTTTCTTGGTATATTTTAAGTTCTTCTTCGTTAGTATATCAATCCCATCCATGTTGCCCTTCAAATAATTTACAAATGTAAAAAAGGCATACGAAAGGTTGAAAGAATCTCTTCTAATCATTATCAGGATTTCGAACATACATACCAGGCATTTCAAATTCTCTACTTTTAAAATGTCATTTTGTGCAAACATCTTCACACATATATGGGCATAAATATTTAACACGATACCAAATATACTGTAGTGGAACAGGCAGTGATCGGACAAGGTTATTATCTTCTTTACACATTGTAGGAGCTCAACAATGGATCTCACCAAATGGATGCACTCCTTATCTGTCACAGTTAGCATACGTTTTACTTTGTCTGACAAAAGTTTTACTATTTTCTCTAAATAACTTTGTGCAAATTCTTCTTTCTCTTTTTTCTTTTGCTCGCTAAGCATCTGTTGGTTAATTTTCTCCACCCGCTTTGTATCCGCTGCTTCTACATTTGACCCAGAAATGTTAGGTTCCTCCCACTTTTCCCTTCCTGAAATGTCGTTCATCGTCGCATTGCTATACAGATTAACCCCCGTGCAACTCTCGCACCTACCGCAATTGCCACACTCGCTGACATCCTGCCCGATGCTGTTCGCCGAAACCCCGTAATGAGAGTAACCCTCCTCCTCCTCACCCCTACAGCTGGCAGTGTCCAAAAAGCCACTACGCTCAGTGGTACCCATATCGAATGGGGCACCCAAATCATCCCTACCCCCCTCAAATGCACTCATCTCATTTCCTGAAAAATCAAAATAGGTATCCTCCAAATGCTGATCTCCCTGTCCAGAGTCATTATTATCTAACAAATATTTACTGTCCACGTTGTTACCAAAGCTGACATTGTAATTAGGGACAGGATTAAACTCGTTTTTCTTTACCTGACCAGTCATACTACTATGGCCAATTTTGTTATTTTTAGAATATTTTTTATTATAAAAATTGGCTCTATTTTTGTAAATCTGATGTGTGTAGGCCAGGTTTAGCTTGTTGGGTGATTTCGCATAGTACAGACCGCTATTGAGTCGGTAGTTATTCCTTTGGGGGGGATTATTCCCACCCCTGATGTTTCCTCTAACATGGTGTGCCTTTCTATTATTCGTTCCACCTGCACTTTGGAAAGTGCTTGCACTTATCATCAAGCTGTTATCAATTCCTGCTCCCACTCCTCCATCAAGTGAAACGATGCCTCCCCCCTTAAAGGCAGACTCATTATCGAACCGCCCAGTGTTTACGTCATTCGCATTTCCTACACCTCTGTAAACCTTCCTATCCATCCCCAGGCCACTCCTTCCATTCTTTAATTTTTTATTTTTCACATAGAAGGAGTTAGTCCCTGTGCCCACATCTGTCTTAAAATATTTACCACCATTGTTGTTCCCCCTTGGTGAAATATTCACATTTTGCAAAATGCCTTTTCTAGTTTTATTTGTAGCATTGTTTATTATTACCCCTTGGTCAAATCCATGTACAGGTCCGCCCTCCCCTATCGCTCTGGGGTCAATTCTTAGGTTCTGTTGAAGTGCCTGTCTCTCGTCTCCATGGACGGGGCCATAATTTAGGTTATTTATATTCGCATTTATGTTTGCACCTGTGTTTATTGTACCCTCGTAGTCCTGACTCAGAAACACACCCTTTGCGCTGTTAAAGTAAATATTTTTTTTTTCTTTTTTTCTCTTTTTCTCTTTAAAAACCTTACTTGCAGCACCACTATTAACATTGCCCTTTGGTTTGTTTTCATTCAGTTCCCTTTTCATTATACGTCTATATGAATTTTTATGTACTTGTTAAAAACCTTTCTGTTCGTTCGCTTCTTAACGGTTCTGTCTGCTGGGCCATCTCATATTCATGCTATTCGGGAGGGGGCGGAGGGCGGTGTGTACACAGGGGCCTCACTTCGGATAGCTCCTTTTTTTTTCAGATTGTGTCCTTACAGGTGAAATAATTCTGTACTCACCAACTGCGCTCCTCCTTCACTTTCCTATTTGGAAGAATTGCCTTTATAACGAACGGAAGCAGGGGCTCAAGTGGAGTTACAACTACAGGTAAACGTACACATACAGATACACCTCCAGGTAAAGCTTTCTTGTGGCCTTCCATATGCTATGTTTGACTCAAATACACAAGCAAATGAGAGCGTATGTGACTCGTTGTCAGCCTTTTCCCATTAAAGCTTTCCAACGAAAACATATATACACTCACCACCCCTTCAGCTACATGCATACGGGGGTTCATATATATGCACATATAAGTAATATACCTGAACACAACCACTAACCAAAAAAAAAAAAAAAATTAATATCTCATTAAGCTATGCTTATTAAAACATTTTCCCATGTCAAAATTAATTTTTCCTTTTTTTTATGTTCAAAATTTGTATGCCCCATGTGGGGTGGGTTGGAAAGTGGGAAACGAGAAATCCTTCATACTCATTGAAGTATCAGCGGAAAAATGCGTCCTTAAATATCTTTCCCTTTCACCACCAATATATATACATATGCGTACGCATAAATGGGCACATGGGGGTGACCATGTACCTTCCATAAATTGCCCTTGTCGGGGCCTTCATATGTGCTAATACACGTCTGCATACCCTTTTATAGTGCATACGCGATTACGCGACTAATGTACTGCCTCCTGTAGCGCGTTTAAAAAAGGGCCCAGCTTCACGGCATATATTTTGGCACAAGGGGGGAAGTCCCACCGCACTTCGAAACGCTTTTTCTACAAATTCGCAAAAAAAAGAAAAAATAAATAACATTTAAAAGTATGCAAGTATGCAAATTTGCTTGCACACCGGGGGAAAAAAATAGCGGCACAACTTGTCCCAACAGAGTGGTAAGATTTTTCAAATTAAAAGATAAAAGAACGTTGCAGCGGAATATCCCCCTTCCTTTTGATAAACAAATTGTCACATTTTTTTATAGCCACGTGAGTTGACCCATTTCATTCTACACAAATTATATACGCAGCTCCACATTTGAAAAGAAAGAGTCTTTTTTTTCCGTCGCGTCAGGGGGAATAAGACTGATCCATGCTGATCCGTCTCATCGTAGGAAGGTACGCCACGTGATAGTTAATCATTTCCGTTGTGGGCTGGCCCCATTCCGGCGTAAGAAGCGAAACAACATAGCACAACCCCCCACACACAGTGAGTCCCTCTCCGAAGGAAATCCTCCTTCCTATTGTCAAAATTGTTCCCCCATTGGTCTATGTACAAACCCATGGACAATTGACCCACGAAGCTTTACCCGTGCAGATCAAAAGCAGCAAAAAGGGGTCTCTCCCCCCCCCAAAAAAAAAATATAAACAAAATTAGGAAAATTTAACACGCTTCATCCGTGGCTGCCTTCTCACACACACAAAAAGATGAACGACGAAGAAAAGGTCTTCTTCAAATTTACCGAAAGTAAAATTCTGCTAAGCGAGTTCTGTGAGGAATATGTTAAGGCAAAAAAGAAGGAAGAAATTCTCACCCAAGAATTAAATAAAGTACAACTCAAAAATTGTCAACTGGAAAATGAAATAGAGAAATATAAACAACTCGTAAGTAATATAGAAAGGAAAAAAGACAAAGAAATGGAAAATTACAATTTTGAATATGATATAAAAATTAAAAAATTAGAAACAGAAATGGACGTACTCAGTTCTTGTCTCAATAAGGAAAAAGAAAATTATAATTTAAAAGCAACAGAACTTATAGGACTCAAATTGGAAAATGAAAAATATAAATCACAACTAAATGATCGAAAAGAAAATAATAATCATGAAAAAGAAAACAAAAAAATGCTCACACAAAACCATATTAATGTACTTAATAAAATGTACGCAGAGATTAATCAAAAGGTAGAAGCCATAATGCAACATTTACATGATAGCAAAAATAATAGGCACAACATTGAACAGAAAATAAAAACTTACGAAACTCTTTTAAACGAATATTTAAAAAAAATCACAGAAACAAATTTGAAGTGTGAAAAATTTTATAAATTACATAAAGAAGCACAATTCAAAAATATGCTCAACAAGTCAAAGAACAAAGTTCTAAAAAGTCGAATAGAAGAATTAAAAAATGAAAACCAAGTCTTGTCCAACCAAGTCGATGCCTTAAAAAAAAATATGGAGCACATGGACGCCGAGAAGACACAGTACTTCTTATTGCTCAAAAAGGCAGAAAAAAAAAAATTATTTTTTTATCATAAATTTAAGGAAAAAAATGCAACGCTAGGTGTTGATAATAACAGCCTGCCGCGCCATCAGCTACACGACCACCGCCATGATTGCTCCAGGCGCTCCCATTCGTTTGACACCCCAAGTAGGTCACCTTCTCATCTTATCAGGCTAGACCAAGTTGTACCCGATCACACAACTTGCAAAAATGGGAAAAGCCATTCATCTCAACATGAAAACCATGCACTAACCAAAAATGACCCTCTCACTTGGAAGCAAAATTTAAAACAAAAAAACAGAAGCACTTCAATTTACAAGTACAGAGATGTCGACAGAAACAAATCCTACTGCCTAGACCAATCTAATATCATAAAGGAAAGGAAGCGCAAGAAAATTCTTTTCTTTTCTGACAATGATCATGATAAAAGACAAAAAAGGAAAAATGAAATTTCGAATGAAAAAAACAGTGTGCAGTACATAGACTTAATAGTTAACTCGACAAACATAATTCCCAAGAAGGTAGGGCCCGATGGAAGTTCCCCTACAAACTGCACTATGCTTAAAATAGCCCCAGTTTAGCATAGTGCTTCCGTCCCACACACATCCACATCCGCCATTCTCCCTGTGCATAATGGGCCAGTGATGCATTCCTTTTCAAGTTCTTCTCCGTCTGATTCCACCGTATGGTCCCACCTCAGTGGAACACCTCGCCGATTCGTCACCACTCATGTTCCCGCAGTTGCCAGGACGACTTCACTCCATTTCGAAAATGTCGTCTTGCAGGCAGCTGCCTTATTACCCAAGGGGGAAATTTTTTTTAGTATTTCATTTATTTATTTTTTTTTTTTAAAGTGCTCATAATGAACTTCCCATTTGTTTCTGTTAAATGGGACCCCCCAATATAATTCTTCTTGTTAATAACGAAACTGTAAATAAATCGCGTCACCGTTTGTTATAATAGCTCCCACAAATGCTCCAAGGACAGGTGACAAAATGAACAAATGTTTTAACTCAGAATGGGTGTAGCCAATGATGCTGACTCTACACACTACACTTCCACCACTAAAGTTGATCCACACAGCAATTACAAAAAGCACCATACACACGCATGGTCTGCAAACGGAGGAAACCATTCGGGGTGCATATCCCATACAGGGGAAAAAAGCTAAACATGTATAAAAACAGAACAAAACTCCAATGGCTAACAAAAAAAAACATACATTATGAAAAAATAAACGGGAAAAAAGGTGAAACATACAAGGGGATACACTTGCGAACCAACACAGTAATGGTTTCTAGCCATGCTATACAGATTTAGTAAAACTTCGTTCTTAATATTATTGCTGTAATTAAATTTGATGTCCTGATTCTTTAAATAATATTTATTTACATGTAGAGGTTCGAAAATTTTGTTCGAGCACAGGAATTCCAAAAAGTCTGGAAAGTATTTAGTGTCCGCTAATTTTGATTTTGCCAAATATTTCTGGCACTTTGCAAATCCGTTTATTAGGTGCCTCATCACTTTGTGTCTTGCGCTCTGCAGGAGGGAAGTGGCCAAAAGGGACAATGTGTAGTGTCTATCAGAAGTTTACGAAAAAAAAAAAAACACATGAATTGAATACGTCCAACTTCTTCGCAGCTTCTGGGCGGCTCGACATACCAGAATGAAGCCCTCGTAGGGATACACCAGCGCTAGTCCTAGCACAATGAAAGCCAAAATGATGCCCTTGTGAATCACACTCTTCCGACTTGTCTTTGCGTTATGGAGGATACACACGGGTATCACGAAGAGCACGCTGAAGAGGGCTGAGTAGGACCAGTTGTACAGCTGCAGGGGGGCAACCAAATGAGGCAAACAGGAAAACGTAAAAGGGTGAAAAAAATGTATTGATAAAATAACAGTGATATGAACAGAAAAGGGGGTATATACACCATGCTCCAGGCGTAATGCCATGGGCGGATAGGAAAAGACCATTTCGGTAGTTTCTTCCCCGCCTTTTATTGCTCCTCTTTTTTTCCCATTACCGACGACAGGAGAACAACAAAAATGAAATAAAAACAGTTCATGCAATTCATTATGGAAGAATACGGCGCGACAGAGCTATTAAAAATGTACAAAACATTTCCGCTACCGAGTAGTTGTAACGTCTTCTCCACCTCATCCAATTCGTCTTGTAGCTTCTTAACCAGCGCTCTGTTTTCCTTCCCGCGAAGAAACTCCTCATCATCACTATGCACAATTTTCGGTTTAGTCAATTTAGAAAAATCGCCCCAGCTAGCTAAAACTTCCTCATTATCCAATTTGGCATAAAAATGGCTTATCCCAATTGTACTGTTTATTTTATTATTCAACTTTTTCACCTTGTATAAAAGGACAATTTTCTCAATTTTACGAACCTTCTCATATTTATTCACTTTACTAATTTTTTTAACCATGCAGGAAATTACGTAATTAAAAACAAGGGCCACTATGATTGACAAAACGAGAATTTCCCACCAGTAATTAGCTATCTCCACGTAATGTTCGTAACGATCTGGGTGCCATTCTGTACACAGTGGGAGCTTCTTTTTCAAACTCAGCACCTCGTAAATTTTATCATTCGTGGAAAATAAATATATAGGAAAGGAAATTATAAAAATGGTTTTTACATACCCGTACAGACCCACCAAAAGATTTGTGTAGCTGCGTAGAATGGAACCTTTTAGTAACTTCAAAATGGCGTACCCACATATTAAGTACACACTGTAGCAGTACACACTGATGGGAACCCTCCTTTTGATGGTATCAAAAAAGTAAAAGTTGGACGAGTGACAGAATCCTTCTGGGGTATTGCTTTGGCTCCTTATAAAACTTTCCATCGCTTTAGTGAAGTTGAACAAATTTAGCATTTTATTCTTCAACGGGATCTTACTCACGCCTGCGGCGGTGAAGGCTGCAATGTTTTCCCTTCACAGGGGAGACAAAAAAAAAAAGGCGGGTAAATGTGAAACAACCGTAGTATGGCGCCCTCATGTCTTCTAATATGCATAAACGCAGTCATGGCCAATACATTGCTACGCACTCACAACCTACCTCAAGAAATACACGTGCCCCTTCTCGTAGCCCCTCTCCAACGCCATGTCAAAAATCGCATGGTGAGCAGATTCCACTTTCACAGGAATGTTGTAGTAGTTGAGCTCATTGGTCAGCAGCAAGATAAAGTCCAGGTTAGGCAGCAACCCATTTAGGCCTTCATAATTTATGTGTATATGGGAAGGGTACACAGAATCAAATTCTATTATGATGGCCGATCTGGTGAGGGCCTTCCTGCCATTCCTTACGTCATTACTATACAAAAAATCTCCCACAAATTTCTGCACCCCTAAAGAATATAGCCATTCCTTGTTGGTGAACAAAAATATAATATCCTTACTCATATAATTGCAGCTTTGAAAATAATTTATTAACGTTAAACCAACTGAAATGGAATGAAAATTTTTCCTTTCCTTGTAATCGAAATTGATCACAACAATTATATTTTCCATGTTGTTACAAAATTTGCACGGAACTGTGCTGACCAGTATGTCGCCCTTTACGCCACCCTTTGCGATAATCCTGTGCTTCACCGTTTGAACAAACGGCGATATACCTCTGATGTACTCATTTATTAAGTCAATTATATCTTCCTTGAACCCGTTGTTCGAAAAATATCTTCTCGTTTCGTTTAGAAAGTCCTCATGAGTTTTGTCTAAGTTGGAATTTCCTGGGAATTGTGAAAAAATCAGCGCGTCTAGGTCGGCCTTTTTGCTAAATTTGTTGAACACGCAGAGGTAAGCGAACCCTACAACGGATACGGTGGTTCTGCCGAAGGAAAGAAAAAGGGAGCCATCGGCAGGGGGTGAAAAAAAAAAAAAAAAATTTGCACAAATACACATATGTACAAATTAGCGTAACCATGGGTGTGCACGTGCCTAGCGCAAACGCAATGCGACACGAAGACATATCTGCTATTCCCCTCTTACCCTATAAATTTCCACTTTTTTAAAACCTTTTTTACCAACAAAAAAAACTTAGGGTTCTCCGAAAACCCCATGATAAATTCAATTGGGCAGATAAAATCAATGGCAATGTGCAGAATGCAAGAGCGACAACGCAAGCTTATTTGGAAACTACAAATGGGATGGAAAACGTAAAGGCTTACCCCCAAGCGGACGTGTAGACCTGGGTGAAGTTGACGCCCTTAATACGTAAATATCGTAAAGGTCATGTGGCATAGCTGTTCATAACTCCTACCTTGCGCCATAAAACTGGAGAACTGTCCCCCTCTACCTCACTCCTATACAGCTAAACACGGCCTACGCGATGTGCCCACATGTCCCATACCATATGCTGTGTGTTTATGTTATTTATTTTTTTTTTTTTGTTCCCTCTTATGGCCATCACCTTACGCTTAAACTATCTAAGTATTTACACAAACAACGAAACACACTGCAGAGCGGAAATTAAAAAAAAAAAAAAAAAAAAAATGGGAGTTCCTCTCACAATTAACTTACGAATTTATGCAGTCAGTCGGATTAGTCCTGTGAAGAAGGAGCGAAGTAGGAAAGGAACAATTTCCCATCGTATCTCATTTTTGAAAAATTAGTGCTTCGTTATTTGGTTCGCCACCACCTGTGCAATGTGACCTATCTCCACGTTATGCTACCTAGCATTTTACACCTTCCCCAACAAGCAATTTTTGTGGCGTGAAGGAAAAAAAAAAAAAAAAAATGGCAGCTGCAACATTCATGTTTCGTACTACACACCTGCATATCCTTTTGCTACATTCGGGGAGCTTTTTTTTTTTTTTTTTTCCCACACTTCATTCCCTCACTGCAGTTTCGCCTAATTGCTAAATGGGGGCACACCAATGGTAGTGATACTCCCAAAAATAATATCCCAACAGGATGAAATACCTTCGCATGTCTCCTCTGTTCAAAGACCAGCGCATACACATTGCTCCGCACTATTAAAATGCTAAAATAAGAATTGATATACAGACGAAGGAACATAGAAAGAAAAAACGAACCGTAGTTGTTACCAGGGGGATACGTGGCATGTTTCCCCTTACTACCTAAAATATAATTTGTTTTTTTTTTTTTTTCCAGTGTATGTTGGATATGCCCTAACAAATGCCCAATTCAAATGGCCCATTTTACCATTTTCATTTTTTACTTTTACTTAGAGGCAAAACACCCGTTTTTACAAAAAAAAAAAAAAGAAAAAAATATGAATAAAAACTGCTAATATGGTGAAAGTACTCACTGTTAAATCCACATATCATATGAATTGCCCTTTTCTTCTTTCCACATGAAAGAGCCATTTAAAAAAAAAAGAAAAAGGTCACCATAGACAAAGAGGAGCAGTAACTACATGCACATATAGCAAGTTACACGGGAGCAACTTCCCTGTCTCAACTACACCAGTGCAAATGAGTACAACACGTGGTGCACTAACCCAGGCGGTCCACACCCACCCACAGCATACACCCCAGCATATTCACATTTGTCTTCACAAAAGGTGTAAATTAAATCTCATCCAACTGACGTATGTAACCTCTGAGACGAATTTTTCTTACATCATTAATTTATTTTATCAAGCAGTAAGCACTATCTCTTCATGTAACGTCAAATATGTACAAATAATTTACACAACCAAACTATCAACATGGGTGGTCGTCGTGGTGGCATCCTCCGGGTTCTTAATAAAAAAAAAAAAAAAAAAAAAAAATCCCTTTTCAAACACTTTACATGAGAAGAATATCAAATATGAAAATTATATGCGGTTATATTTCTGCATTTATATTCTCCATTCGTTATAGCTGCACGAATTTTTTTCATATTTTACTATAATTTTTTTTTTTTTCCTCTTCACCTAACGGGGTACCTCTACGGGACACTCACGATCTAGTTATTTGCCTGTCCACCGTTACGCTCCCCCGACTGTTGGTTCGAAGGATAAGAGCAGGTAGCCCCGGTCTGATTATTCGAATTGTTAAGCTGCTCATTATATGCAGGATTGTATTGCTGATTGTTGGGTTGATTATACATTGGATGTACGCGTGGGCCCTGAGGTGCAGAGTTACCACTCTGTTGGTCATACACATTTCTGTTATCTGGCTGATCATAATTTACAAAACCGCTATGTTGATTATAATGCGACATTGTATTTTCCTGATTGGGGTAGGCATTCCTGTTAACCTGCTGGTTGTAGTGAGATAATAGGTTGCTACTTGTGTTGGCATTTGCGCCGCTATTAGGGTTTGCATAATTCGGGGCTTCATAACTCTGGCTCGAATACCCTGGCCCGTTATCCCCAAGTGGCACATATGGCTGGTGGCCGTACTGCGCTCTGCCACTCCCGTAGTCGTAGCTTCCCACAAAATTTGGCTGATTATAACTGTGCATGTTATTCGAACCGCTATTCGTGCTATTTTGAGAAGCGTATGGCCTCTTATACACTGGTACATCTTGGCCGCTCTGATTGTTCGGAGTAATGTAATGATTTTGCGTCATTCCTTGTGTATTGTAAAGATTTTCTGGGTTGGGTTCGTTTATATATAAGAAGGTAGGGTCACTGGGATCCACATATGCATTACTACTTGAAAAAAATTGCTCATTAAATTCGCTCAGGGAACCTAACGGTCTGTTTATCCTCGCCGCTTCATATACTTTAAAAAAATAATTAAGGAAACTACTACACTGTCCATTCAAAAAAATCAGGTTCCATTTGCACGTACTGTTTATACTGTTGGGATGATCCAATACTGGCTTAACTACACCAGACAGGTAATTCAACCCAAACACGGGTTGTTCAAATGTAGGCTTCTCAATCAAATTTAGTGGAAACTCCACGGATATGAAATTTGGGTTCGTTCTGCTCCGTGCATTTTTGATAAATACCAAACGTATGCTCGTTAGGAAAATCATGCCGTCCTCCTTTATCGTTCTACAGTTGCGTGTGCGTGTAAGTGTTTGTATAAGAGCGTGGGGTGGGGAATGAACATATACACATATAAGTGAACGAGGTTGCAGGGACACCCTTAACTGCGCACTAGAGCTATAGCAGACAGGCGGAACAAACCGGAAGAGACCCGCCCCCCCCATTTGTCCTACTACTACTACACACTCGCGCAACCATCCGCATGCGCACACTTATGCGTAATATACTTCGAAAGGCTGTTTTCTTACGCACCGGTCTGGGAGGTAGAGCTTCATTTTTACGTCGTCTCTTCTCAGGTACGTGAACTCTGATCCTTTGTTGGCAGGAAATAGGAACTCTGCTCAGGGAGAGAAGCGAAAAAGGAGGAAATGTAAATATGCGCAAATGTGGAAGCCCACAATGAAAACCCCGTATATATACAACTGCCCCATTAAGTGTCCTCCTCCACCATTGCTACACATACCCTGTCCTTGAATTAGCGTGGGATTTAGTGCCATCCTTTTTGAAGAATATTTTCAAGTCGGCTTTGAGATTTCTGCCCTGAACGGGTCATAAAGGTGGCCTACCCCCCAAAAATGGACACTTCCAAATGTGCTTTTTCGTGTCCTCCGATAGTTACAGGGAGTAGTGAAGCTCTATAAATATAAGCAAGTCACATGTACATACTCGTGTATGTATATGCATGCACCATATGTTTATTTTGGTTTTCTCTTAGTAAGCACATCCCAGCAGTGACATTTCGCAAATTTTCATGCTTGCCAAGGTTTAACACTCTGAAAAATTGAACGCAAGGGGGAAGAAAAAAAAAAAAAAAAAAAAAAAAACCATCAACAAAATACATACAGGGACAAATGTTATCATATACAAATATTATTTGTTCCCTTTTGCAAATTCGGGGGTTTTATTTCTTATCTCTTCATTTACAAACAGGCACAAAAGAACAAAAAAAAAAAAGAAATAAATAAATATAAAACAAATAGGAAAAAAAAAAAAAAAAAAATACAACGTAAATAAATCAAACATTAATGTTGTGAATTGCTTCAACCGGGTTTTGTTTAAACATTCTTATGCCTTCACATGTGATAGAAACATGTGCACGGACGCTTGTGCCACTGCACGCACTTCCCCGCGCAAGAGCAGTTGCATGTATTTACATACACAGGTGCTTAAGGGTCAGCACGGGAATGATTCACTTTTACTCTTAGCTTCGCGTCCGCTCTTACCTTTTTTTTTTTTTTTTTTTTTTTAAAAGCAATTCTTGTGCAAATGAGTATATCCATTCCCCGGTGCACACAAGCTATGCGTTGTGCAAAGGGTTAACAGTGCAGGGATCAAAATGAAAAAAATGAAGACTCATAGGGACGAAGCGAAGAAATGCCCTACAGTGAGCTCTTCACCCCCAGAATGACAAATCCACACTTTGGTGCGAAAACAGTCGTGAAGTCACTGTGTGTGCGTACGTAACTGCTTCACCGGACAGTACAACTTTGTTTTGTGTTCTTTTCCATGCCGACCTTGACTCCCAATTCAGAGTATATTTCCCCACACACGTATGCGCGCAAAAAATGTACCCCCTCTACTATGAGAAGCAGATCGTGAAGAAGCTCATACAGCACGACTCCCTCATTCTCCTGGCAGATGGATTTAACGAGCTGAATATTCTGGCCATATTCGTTTTTTACTATCAGAATAAGTGCCTGTGGTATGAAAAATGCCCAGAAGAGCAAAATATCTTCTTCGAGTTGTTCGGGCTTAACATAAGCAAACGGGTTGATGGCGACGAAGATGATGAACAGGTGGGCAGAGACAACCCTGACTGGGGTGATAAGTCAAGAGAAAGTGCAACTTCACAGCGGGAACTCTTCAACACACCCAAACAGGTGATAAGTGTGAAGGACAAACCGACCGGCTCAATAGGGAAAGATAGAATAAGCAGCCTGTTGGACTCCTTCAAGTATGACGCTTCCAAGACATGCAATGCGAACGAGGACCCACTCCTAGAGAGACACCAAAGGGAAGTGCAAAAAATACAGGATGAGAAAAATGACAAAGCCACACCAACAGAGACACCCACACCAAAAGAGACACCCCCACCCGGGAATCAAAACAAACTCATATTCATCCTAAACGTGTCCCCAAAAGAGTACAACCTGTTTCTGAAGTACCAACTGGGTCTCTACGAGGAGGTGAGTAAACTGGACAAACAATTTAATAATAAGATAAAAATAAATTACCTCAAGACAGAGTATATAGCAACCCAAAAATCAAAAGAAAGAATCGAGCTGTACATAAAGAGGGGAGTGTATTTCATCTCATCCAACGTACTACTCATAGATATGCTAACATTTAAAATCATCCCCGAAATAATTGATGGTATCTTCCTCTGCAAAAACCACAAACTAATATATAACACAAAAGAAGTATTCATAACGGAGCTCTACAGAAAGAGAAACAAATATGGCTTTATAAAAGGGATTAGTAACCATAAAAGGTTAGTAAATAGTAAGCATATAACAAATTTAAGTCAAAAATTAAGCATAAAAAAGGTCTACTGTTATCCCCGATTTCATAAAAATGTACATATCTCTCTTAACAATAACTTTTTACAACCAACCATTTACGAAATAAATATGGACGTCCCATCCGATATGAACACAATCGAGGAAAACTTACTCAATCTAATACACTACCTAAATTTAGAAATTAAAAAATATAATACCTTTACGGATTTTGATATAAATGCACTCATATATTCAGACAGCGCTGAAAAATACACCATGAATTACATCAAGAGCAAAAATCTTACCTACAATACAAAAAAATTATTAAAAGAAATTATTGTCCTGGCTCATGTTCTTAACAATCTCTACGTATATGACCATGTAGTGTTCGATAACTACCTTAACAACATCAAGGAGGACGATAAAGAATCCATATGGCTCTACTGTAACGAGGCCAATGATATTTTCTTTTTATCTAGGGAAAGGAAAATCAATTTTTTAAAAGCCATTAATATGAACCTAGAATTGGATATCAACAACCAGCACAATATTCCTGTCGTCTTCCACAAATTGAAGAACGACGGGAAATATTTCAACAAGGCGTATGAAGTGAAGCGAACACAAAGTGAACTCTACAACTGGATACACGAACTCGTTTTCCGACGCGATATACACTTCAAGGAGTTTAAAAAGATGATCCAAAACAGACAGCGCAACAGCGTCAATGCGGAGGGTAGTTTGCCTTCCGCGCGCAAAAGGGGCACAGAACGCACCCCCCACGGAGACCTCCACGATACCGCTCTCCTCCTCAAGAGGCCTAAAGAGGGGAGCGAATCAAACACTGCAGCTTCGCAAAAAGGACAAAATGAAATAGAACTAGACCAAAGCAACCCCCATGTGGTGACCTCCCAAAACGGGAGCTGCCCCCACGTCAAGGTCAAAATTGAGCAGCGCACTCCGGAAAAACACGACACAACTGTGCAAAGTGAAGAGCCGTGCAACACGAATGACAAAGTGAGTGCCCCTGATGGGGGGACCAAAACGGACGCTTCGAAAGATTCCTCACAAGTCTATTCACAAGACGAATCGCAAAAAAGAACAACTACTTGCCCAGCCGAGCAGAAAATAAAGAAGGAAAAAAGAAACTCCGACACAGGAGAAGAAAATCCCAAAATAGAAGACCAATCAAACAATGAGTCACATACCAATGAAGCGAAAAGCGTGGCTGAAAAAACAGAACACATAGATGCAGAAAAAGTAGAATACCCCATCGCAATAATTGTAGATAATTACTACACCCAAAAAGAAATTTACAACCTACTGCTCCACAAAAATGATAACACAGTAGATATGAAACTGTTCCGCCAGCCAGAAGAACAAACGCGTGAGTTTTACATTTCAGACAATTCGTATAACTCCTCTTCCAACAGCTCAGATGTCTTGTTTCGTAAAATCAAAAACATCATGCGCTCAGATAATGTGGATTACTACATCCCTTACAAGCTCATTAAAAACAAAACCACATCCCTAAAATATATAAAACCCCATATTTATATACTGTGTATAAATAAAAACTACGATACGGTGTATGCGCCGGACACCTTCATCCAGGACTGCTCCCGCAAAATTGATGCGATTAATGCGAACACAAGGAAGGGAGCCAATCCATGCACGGAGGAAGGGGAAAACTTTCCTAGCAACGGTAGAGACACCACAAAGGTTGCCTCATTAGAGGATATCACTTGCCGATTGAAGAAAAATAACGCAGCTTATAAACGAAGGTGTGATGATCTATTCCAAATAAATGAGTACTGTGGAAATCTTGAATTTTTGGAACTCTTTTTTATGGAGGTAAAACCGTGCAGAATTATCCTGACCAAGCTGGACTTGAGTATTTTTCGTAACGTTGAAATTTACTGCGCCAGGTTGTTCCAGAACAATGTATATAAACTACGTGGAGAAAGTTGTTTCCCTGAGGTGATGAAGTACGAAGAGAATAGCTGGATGTATGATAACGTCGGAGAAGCGCAATCCTTTTTGAAGAAGGAACAGGGAGGAAGCCCACACGCCGCGCGCGCTAAGCGATATTATCTCGAGGCACTAAATAAGGATGCAAATAAATATACATCACCGTTTCACTTCGCTGACCGCGGGGCGCAAAACTTCAAGACGCTAGAAACCCTGAGCAGCGTGTGCAACACAGTCGAGGTGTTCCTCCTATTCTACAAAAACAATATACTATACAACAAGTACCTGAACGACGTTAAGGTGGAAAAAACTAATTGGCTCAACTTTATCGAAAATAAAAACAATTTCCTATTTCAAGTAGACAGAAATGTCTTCAACAAAAATAAGGACCTCTTTAAAAAAGTCGTAGACTCCTATTTTCTCTTCCAGAAAAGATTTCGGCAAAACAAAAAAAATCTCTTAAACTTCAACAAAGCCCTGTGTGAAGAATTTAAAAATTTCCAAGACGTAAAAGTGGAAGAACAAGTAGAAAATAATACAGCCTTCTTAAATAATCTCAACACAAACTACATTAGTATGGAGGAGGAAGAACTTTTTATGCACAACTACAGAAATAAAACAAGTAAAAAAAATCAAATCACACTCTCCAACCTGGACGAAAAAACAATCTCAAAAATTCAACAGGTGTTAGAAAATTTTTCCATAGATTCCTTCAATTTAAATTTTATCCTCTATAGCATTTTTAACAACACCAAGCCAATCGTCATTGTTGATATTAGGGAGTTAAAATCTGACCTCTCCTACAAACTCTACACGAGCAAAATACACATCATCCCCTACTCCCTCCTCGTTGGGGATTATGTCCTCACCAGGGATATCTGCGTTGAAAGGAAAACTATCGTGGACCTCATTCAATCATTAAACAGTAACAGACTCTATAACCAGATCAATCAAATGTCCAAATATTATTCTGTCTATGTGTTGCTAATCGAATTCAATACAAAGCATTTGTTTTACTTCTCTTCCCTTAGAGATAAAAATTCAGTCTACACCAAATTAATCATCCTATGCCTTCAGTTTAGTAGACTTAGAATTTTGTGGAGTCCCTTTTCTCTCTTTACTGTTAAGCTTTTCTGGTCCCTTAAAGTTAATGCCGAGCAGCCCGACATCTTCAAATCCCTGCACATTGATATGACCCTGGAGAGGGACGCCCACCAGCAGCTCGCGAGAGACCCCAGGCGGTGCAAAACGCAGGCCCTATCATCAACGGAGCCGCTACCCTCAACGCAACCGCTGTCTATTTCGAATAACCCAGATGGACAGGCAAGCGAACCACTCCCATCCCTCCATACCCCAGCGGAACAATCAAACCAAAACAAACTCCAGCGGCTAGACAGCTGTGAGGACAAAAATTGGGACAACGAAAACGAACAACCGTCAAACGACTACAAGTACGAAACAATAAATGACCTATTCGATAAAAATTTAAACCCCTTGCCAATCGATGACGGGACCAGTTATGCCCTAAGAAGAATGGACAGCGTCACCAACTGGAACGCCCTGGAAATATTGAAAGCCCTCCCAGGCGTTACGGAAAAAAACATGCACCTGATTATCAACAACGTCACCTCATTGCGTGAACTATGCGAAAAAACGGTCGAGCAGCTGGAAGCCTACATGAGCAAGAGCAACGCCAAGATGCTCTACGACTTTTTAAACACAGACGCGGTGTGATGTCGCCTTTCCCTTAGACCTCATCCTACAAATGGATCTGCGCGAAGGGGAAACATTAATCGCGGTGATACAGTACCCCATTTTAACGTTACTCACTCTCCCAACTGCCGGTCACACCGTTTCTTGCACCTTTCTTTTTTTTATTATTTTTTTGTTAACACCCATTCCCTCTCTCCTCTTCCTCCTTTCCCATTTTTTTGGCCCACCTATGGTAATACATGACCGTCTTTTCCTTAACCATTTGATTATTCAAACTTCGCATATGTAATGATTCCCCAGATGGGGCCTCACTGCGGGCCTCCAACTTGCGTCGTCATCTATATGCAAGCGCCGAAAAATAGATAGGCAAACAAACCATGGGGGGGGGGAGATTAAAGCAAGGGTTAACAGACTACCAATCATGGTGCTAAACAAACAGGCCTAACGCTTTCCCCCTTTGATACTCCCGCGCGGTGATCTCTCATAATGGGTCTACATCTACAAAAAAAAAAAAAAGTACCCATGTAAGGTCCTCTCATGTTGTAAAGAATCCATGGTAAGGGAGCTATATTTAAGTGAGTAACTATCGTGTACCCCTTACCCCCCAGTAGTGCACTCAAACCAGGGTTACGTCAATTTGAGGGACATAAGAAATGTGCACACACACTTTATCCTGTCAAATGCACATCAACAGAACAGAAGAGACATCCCTTCTCCCTTGTTGCATACGCCAAATCTGATTAAGTCCTATTTTATTATTATTATAAGGCACGTCCCCAGTGATGTATGTTGGGCACGTAAAAATGCACCAAAGTGGTAACTAAACATTTTTTTTTTTTTTTTTTTTTTGCTCCTCTCTTGGGCAATCTCTAATTACAAACAAAAATCCTCTACGCTGGTTAAGCAGTATGTGTGGGTGTGCCGTGGGTCATGCCTCCCTACTAACACATTTTTTTCATTTTTTCCAAATCGCTAGCTGGAATCGCATCGCTTCTCCAGCATGTGTACAATAATGTCGACGTTGCCATGGCGGCAATATTTTAACGACCATCCAAACATACGACACCTTACATACTGTTGTAGCGGGCCATTTTTTTGGCACATGCCTCGTCACTTTGTTAACCCCCTTCAGAATGTTACACAATGGGCAAGTATAAGCTTCATTCTGCTGTTGACGTGATGCATAGCTCGAAAATTTTTTTTTTTTTTTTTTTTTTTTTTTGTTGCAAAAATTTAAACTAGTACAACAATACCAGGGTGTATACGAGCCAGCGAAACACTTAAGAGGAGTATTTTTTTTTTTGTTGAAGTGGAGAAAATTTTACATACACTTCTCATAATTCCTTCTCTTTTTCGTCAACTTGTTTTCACAAAGGCGAAAGGTTAATCGAACGACTCTGCGAATAGAGCGTAAATGTTCCTACGTGCAACGTACAGGAATATGCGTCACCCGTGCATGTGCATTTTGAGGCACCCTTAAACAGGTATTACTTGCGCAGCTCGACAGTCACCTGGACGACATGGGCACACTCATCCATCCACCCACACCACATCACATATGACGAGAGGAAAGACACACCCGAATGCATACCGGCGGATGTGCTCCTCATGTGGTATCCTCTGACTGCAGTACAGCTGAGTAGAGATCTCTACACAACTGGACGAAGCTAAGGGGGTTGCGCCAGCAGAAAGTGCCACCGCATTGATTAGAGGTACCACTTCCATTTGAGGCATCACTTTCCCCGTGCCTCGTGGATCGCGTACTCTCCATTTGTTCGCTTCCCATTCGCTCACCCCCTTTATGGAAGCAAAACTCAACAATGAAGAAGCGAAAAAAAGAAAAAAAAATAAAATCCTGCTGTGCGGCCTGGTGTCAGGCCTGGTAACCAAAACATTATTCGCCCCCTTCGACCGGATAAAGCTCTTTTACCAGATCCAGCCAATGTTTCAACACTACTCCAAAGAGAGAGACAAAGATGATTTAAAGGGCAAGAGAAAAAAACGCATCACAAGCAAGAGTTTACTGTTAAACGGTGTAGACCAATCGACAAGCATACAAACCGAAACAATAGAATCGGTCTCAAAAAGAAAAAGACTTGTACACAACGAAAATGTGTACTTCCGTAATTTAAAAAACACCATAAATGAAATAATTCATAATAGTAAAAAAAAAAAAAAAAAAATTATGAACACAAGCGTAAAATACGCTGAACTGTGCAGGTGCTATGACCACGCAAAGTATTCTTCCCCTCATCAAGTTTTTAAAAAAATTTTGCACACCTATCACAATAAGGCAAATATAAATAATCACGTAAGTAACAATTACCCCCTTTTAAACATCAACACTAATGTGAAACACGCATTAAGAAGAAAAAGCATTTGCTTGAGTAGGACAACACTCAGTGCTAGTAGCCAGCCAGTCAAATATCAAAGCATTATTCAAAGCTTCCTCTTTATAATAAAGGAAGAGGGCATATTGGGCCTGTGGAAGGGAAACTTAATCAACACCGTGCGAGGCGGAATCGTCTACTCAGCAAAATTTGGAACAAATGATTTGATAAAAGAAAAATATAAAAAAAAAAAAAAAGATGACAGCGCTGCAGTAGAGCTGTTCCCCAAGGGGTTACCTAACAAAAATGATACAAAAAACAATAATCAAGTGATACAAAAAAACTTTAATTATTACGAAAGTGTGATGGCCGGCTATGCCTCAGGTATAATACAAAAGACATTGTCGTATCCCCTAGATTTACTAAGCATCAGAGTAGCCCTAGGAATAAATGAAAAATATCTGAGGAATAACAGCTCCATGTTTAATCAAAAAAAGTCCATCCTTGGCATTATTCGTGAAATTAATAGTAACGAAGGATTTGCAGGATTCTTCAAAGGATATTTACCAACCCTATTAACAGGAGTACCTTATGTAACATTACAAATGTTATTTTTTGATTTTTATAAAAATATTTTTCAAAATTATTTTCCACACAAATCAAATTCGCTAACTTCTGTGGCCATTTACTCATCTATCGCCGGATCGCTCAGCAACCTCTCCTCGCTAATAATTGTCTTCCCAGGAGACACTGTTCGCAAGAGAATGATGAACAACGGAATAGACAACAGAAATTATATATACAAAAATACCATGCATTGTATTAAAAATATTTACCACTGCGAAGGGGTCAGAAATTTCTACTACGGTTTGTTTCCCTCCATGCTCAAGTCCATCCCCTCGGGCGCCATACAGTTCATGTCGTACGAAATTTTGAAGCATATGATGTCGCAGGTGTGAGCTTATGCATTGGAGCGACGTGCAGAAATGGCACACACTGGGACAATCACAATATAAGGCCCCATCAACCCAATGTCCGTGGGAACGCCTATCCCATAAAAATGAATAATCATACCCCCCACACACAACTGGGTATCTTCACAACTGCTCATCGTCCATGCCGACCATTTTTAAAACCGTTCCCTGTTTACATGCCCACTAAGCAGCTTTTAATCTTTTCCAATTTTTACAGTGTTCACAAATACTTTTTATTTATTCCCCCGTTTCTCCATCGTTTGTGCTTCGCTCCACGTGAATTAGCTCCCCTGTCCTGTACAGGATGTTTCCTTCACGGGCAAGTCACTCTGCTGCGTAATGCTCCCTTGCTTCCCCGTTACGCCGTTACGATGCAGCTTGCCCGTTTTATGTTACCTCCCTCGTTCTGTTCCCCTTTTCTTTCTCCTTTTCTTTCCACACCCCTACTGCATTTTGTCACTGCACCTCATACGAATTTCCCATTCCCAGCAGCCTTTTTAAAATTCCCCATTTTTTTATCGTAACAAATAACAGTCATAAAAACTGTATGATTAATTTACTCCAGTTTTTTAACCCTCGTGTGCTACACCGCATTCCAGGGCAGTAGTAAAAATGGAACAAAATGCAACGAATAATGTTGCAACAAAGCAAAGGTCAAATCTTGCATAACGGGATTAAAATACATTTTGTAGGGGTACACCCTTTCGCCTCCACACTGTTGTGCATGAAAACACACGTACAAACGGCACACTCCAGGCACTATTACCTATGCCATGCAAAATGGCGGTGAGTTCATTTTTTCTCGTCAGCATAGCCTTTTTTTTTTTTTTTTTATATATATATGTATGCATTACGTGTACATAAATATATATATATATTTTGCACCTTTCTGGCTCTGCGCAAATTGTGGCTAGAATAATAGCTTACGCTTGGCGCAACATTGACAAAAAAAAAAAAATTAATCGTCGCCCTAAATACGCACTTTTTTTCTTATGTAGAAGTTGCTAACGATGAAGGAAGCTAGCTGAACAAATGAGGTCAAAAATTAACTTCAGAATGCTTTATTCGCCAAGGAAAAATATGATAGTATAATATCCTTTTGCTTCCCAAATCGACGTTGTTGTAGTTCCTAGTAAGGATTAATACCATTCCCATTTATGCCTCTCTTTTTTTATTTTACATGTACCCGTGTGCATAAAACAGATACCCCGTGCACATAATTATAACACGGCTTTTACCGTGCACCTCTCGCCCTTATACATTTTTGTTAACCAACGCTCATCTCACCATTGCGCATGTTTACTCCTTAATTGCACGTAACAACATTAGCGAGCATAGCCATACATTGACAACGCTGCTCCTTTGCGTGTTACTGCATACTTTTACGTAGTTTGAGATCCTTTTCTACTCGCTAGCACAAGAAAATAACTCACGACGTCACCCCGTAGAACAATAATGCCAAACACTAATATGCATGAAGCATACTAAAGGATGATCTGCCCAAGGACACAGAAACTGCCGCAAATATATTTATCCGCAGAATAGGTGTGCATTTCCTATACCACGTACTAACATGTGCATATTTCATTCTGCAAAATAATTACCAAGACACACTAGAACTGAAAAAATGGAGAAGTCCCTCGATTTAAGCAGCTTTAACAAAAGCGATAGGGAAAAAATTATGAAGAAGATAAACAAAGCGGAATATGAAGATACTATGAGCACATATAACTCCATTGTTGAAAGATGCTTCAACGAGTGTATCACATCATTCAGGTCCAAGGAACTTGATAACAATGAAAACAATTGCATTTTAAATTGCGTTAAAAAGTTTTCTGTCTTTTCGCAGAGAATTGGCATGAAATTCACGCAAAATTTGAACAACGAAATGCAAAAAAAGGCATAACCCAGCAGAGTTTGCCAGAAGAAAAAAAAACACAGAGTGTCCAACTTTTGCAGGGAACCTAACACAAATAAGCAAATAAAAGGCACATTACACACCCAGTTATAGGCATAACTGGACGGACAAATGTGCAAAAGTTAATGAAAAAGTCACAAATAAGTAAAAACTGTGCAAATTGTTGTGTAGCTCACTACGCGCAAGAGACATAAGCAGAGCTGCTTTGCTCACTCGTAGTGATATTATTTTATAGGAAGTCCTGATACGTTATGTTATGTCCTGCCATGTTTCGGACTTGTGGTCCTTTGAATTTTTTCATAAACTGAACAGGAAGTATATACTAACATGTTTGTTGTTCTGTTTCGTATGAACAGTTCAGGCAAAAAGTGCACTTTTGTTTCTTTTTGCCTATTTCTGCCTTTTTTACGTATATATATATGAACTGTTCAGGTAGTTTTTTACACATTCTTCCTTTTTTTTTTTTTTTTTACACATTGCAAACCGTAACAGACGGTTCTGCATATCTACACTGTTTTATGATACATTACCAACCGTTTACGCCATCACGTGCTGTCTTCAACACCAGGCACCCTCAATACAATCTGTTTGGTTTGTGCAGATAAATGCAGTCGTCCCTGCCCAACGATATTTCCCCTATATGAACCAAAAAATTGCGTAGCACATAATTACTATTTTTAATAAACAAAAATGTTAAAATGTATTTTGAAAAATTAAAAATGAATGAAAAGTAGCTCTTGGACAAAACGTAAAAGTAAATGTTGTCCATTTTATTCCCTTCCGTTTTGTTTTCATAAAAATAAATTAGGGACCCCAAGAGCTTCTCCATGTGCCTCTCCTTGTACATCACTTGATACAGGGGTTGACACTCATTAAATTTGTCAATCATTTGGTAGACCTTATTTCCTCTGTACTGTAGCAGATAAAAGGCGTAAAATATTCTGGAGTACAAGATATAATTCATGTTTCGTTTTAAAAAAAAGTCACAGAAAAGGTCCAATATTTCCGGAATATTCACCAGGTTGAAAGCATAGTACTCCAAAATGTATATGACATTATTTATATAAACCTTGTTGCTCATTTTTATGTTGTACAAATTGTTTGCATAATAATTGTTCTTTTTTATATTTTCATAATCAATATAGCTAAAGTTTACAAAATCGCTGTACATCCTTTTATTTTCACGGTCACCTCCCCTTTCCTTTGCGTCCTTGTAGCTCTTACCCTCCTGCTCCATATGCACGCTCCTCAAATTAGTGAATTGATCTTCGTAATTCATTTGATCAATGCTTTTATCTATGCTCTTCTCGACCTCAAAAAAGAGTTTCTCGACCTGTTTTCCACAAGACGTACCATCGTCCGCATTGTAATTAAAGTGTTCTCCACGGTCGTTCCTGCAACCCCCTTCCCCGCTGCTACGAACGAGGGTGTCCTCACCGCGGCCATCGCCGTTTTCCTCACTACTGCCCTCACCAAGGACGCTCAACATAAACCCACTCAGCACGTCCACAAATTCATTCTCCTTAAGAGAAAAATTGTGTAGTGCTTTACACAGCAATCCCACCTCATTTACACTAAAAAAATTGTGATATTTATAAAAAAATTGCAGCGAGTAGTAAATTAGACTACCATGTTTGTGACCCGCTTTGCTAAAAGATAGCATCAAAAAACTCACCAGCAGGGGAGTCAATTTGGTCGACTGTTTACCCACTTCCTCAGCGACTTTTTCCAAGAGGAATTTATTTTTATCTATGTTTGCTACGGAAGAGGATATCAAGCACAAGGACTCAATGGGCATGCTCTTCAATTTCTTCCTTGTTATAGCTTCCACGTTTTTTAAAGCGTTCTTTATGGAGTACACCATATTGACGTTGTACGAATTCTGCTTTAGTGCATTCGTATGCTCCCTCAAGGTTTGTAGTTCGTCACTTTGGGTAAGGAAATTAGTTTCCAAAATGGACAGCCTTTTTTCTATGGTTGCCCCTGCGTTGATGGAGGTGTCGCCATTCGAAATGACAACCGCGTCGGTCACTGTGTTGGTGTGTACACCTGTGTTACCCTCTCCTCCCACAATTGTACTGGGCCCATTTGGGCCCCACTCCCACTGCTCCTCATAGCGCAAAGCAAAATTTTTTATCAAGCCGATGAGCTCCTTCTCCTTTGCAAAGTAATGATAATTCCTATGGCACTTCTTACCAACGTAAGACAAAAAATTGTAAAAAATGGCTAGCTGCTTCGATTCAGAGTTGACATTCACATGTTGATTAAAATTATGAATTAAGGAATTTATGAGGATGCTATTATTTATGTTAAAATTTTTAAAAAAAACGAAAAGGACAGAAAGCTGAAAAGTGTCCAACTCATTTATTTTTTTTGAAATACTATAAAGTAATATGGTTAAATAATTTTTCGAAATAATTTTTTTCTTGTTAAAGCATTGTATCAGGCAAATTAATTTTTTTAAATTTAAAAGATGAAAGTTGTGAAATATTCTCTTCTCAATTAGAAAAAAAAAATTATAATGAAAATAATTCAAATTAGTGAAGGAAAAATATATGTCCACTAAATCATCACAAGTAATTAAATGGATATTTTCCATCAGGACATCTTTAAAATAACAAAATAAAAAATAATTTTTGCATTTTATCACGGAAAATTGTTTTAACAATGTGATTATCTCCCCATATCTTAGTTTTTCTTTATGCAGCAGCAAATTCATCGAAACGCTTCTCAACAATTCAATATTATCACTCTTGGACTTTATGTATAAATTTAAAACTTTGATGAGATCATTTGTGTTGTACTGGTGGTAATCACTTAATAGGGATGGGACAGCCGAGCATGTTGATTTGTGTAAAATTATATCATGTTCTCTTCTTTCTAATTTTGTCTTTACATTATCGCCATGTGTGCTTCTTATCGCAGCATGAGTTGTGCCTACACTTCTTTCGCTTTTGCAAAGCACGAATGGATTTTTTCCCTCCCTTGGAAATGTATACCTTTTCTTGCGTCCAAAATTGGTTAAAATGGTAACCCTACGCATTTTTTTTTTTTTTTAAATAATTTTTTTTTTCATTTTGAAAAGTTTTTTTTTTTTTTTTTTTTTTTTTTTCCCCATATTCCTTTTACTCACAAATGAAACATTTTCTTTTTTTTCTTTATCCACAAAAGGTAACGAATTTGCATTATTTCCTATTTGCTTTGTTTTTCTTCATCATTTGTGTCATCCCCATTCCACTTCTTTCCGTTCATTCTTTTTTTTTTTTTTTTTTTTTTTTTTTTATACGTATTAGCGAATGGCACTAACACAAGTGCATACACTTACTCCCCCCCAAAAAAGGTTGCATCCGTTTATGTGTGACATAGTCTGAAAAAAAAAATTACATATAAATATACATCCTCAAGTTGGTACAAACTTAGCGTTACACATACATCCTCATATTTGCATATTTTACTTTACTTACACAGTTCTCTGCATTTGCCGCTTCTCATCTTAGCGAATCCCTTCAATATATATATAACGCCTTGGGGGTTGAGAGTGCGGAAAAAACGCTTTTCCACTCCCAATGACGACAGTATAAGCAAGGCGCTACAGATGTAACGCATGTCCCTTGTTGAAAATTAATAATTGTTAGACTGATCATTCCCGTCCTGCTGCGCGCGTGATGTTTCTGTTTATGTGAACCTCTCCCCATTTTGCGCCCACGTCCAAGTGTACGCAGCTATATACGAGGCAGCGCGCGCCGTTTGTCCCTCATTCATTTACGATGCGTTTGCTCTTATTCGTTTGTTATTTGTTTGTTATTCGTTTGAATTTTTTCCCTATTCGTTTGGTATTTTTTTTTTTTTCCTATTCATTTGGAATTTATTTTCCTATTCGTTTGGAATTTATTTTCCTATTCGTTTGGAATTTATTTTCCTATTCGTTTGTTTGTTCGCTTGATCGTTTGTTGCCTCGACTGTTTGCCCGATTGCTTGTGCCCCCGATCTGCCATGTCGTTTGTTCCCTGTCCTCCTTTTTAACAATATATAACAACGCACACATGCCTTCTCTAAGCTTCTACACGTTCTGTACTTCCAGCACGTCCTATTTCTCCCCGGGGCTTGCATGATTCCCACTTTGATTCCTCAACCAATTCTTTGAACTCCATAGTTTTTATTTCCCCTGCATCTTTTGTAGAATCTACTTGCATCCCTGCGAATGACATTTTTGTCATCTCGTTTTTTTTTTTTTTTTTTGTGCCTTGTCCCTCTGTCACCACCGTCGTAGTAGCACCCCCCACATACTTGTTTGCATCTAAACATACGGAAACAAATAAGGCCTCGCTGCGTTACTAACTGGAACCGAAGTGTCTAGTGGTATATGCACACGTTTGCCGTTACGATAGAAGAATAAAAAGCAAGTCCTAGCCTGCATAACGCCCGCCAAATCAGACGCCCCGCTCAACGCCGCCAAACTAGACGCACCGCTTAACCCCCCAAAATGAAGGCGAAGGCGAAAAAGAAAGAAATCCTGGAGAAGAAAAAAAAGGAAAACAAAAAATTCCTAAGGCTTGTAAAGACGAATCAAAAATATGAAAAATTTCAAAAAGCTATTTTAAATGGAAAGGGATCCAAGCTAAATCATAATAATAAAAAAACAACACAAAAAATTAAAATCAACAGCAAAGAAAGTTTACCCATTCATGTGAAAACATATGATAACATCATTGAACCAAATACATTCTCTAAAGCATATGATTTCATATTCGACAAGGTCGTAAACGAACATGTTAGAAATCTCCTGTACGACACTCACATGCTCTACTGCAATTTTGACCTGTCCACAAACTACAATGTAGGCAAGGCCTACAATTTTCCCATGTAAGCAATTATGAGCGATTGGGCAGCGGCCCCGCGTCAGGCGTCACACATATACTGTGTACACTGTGTGTGTGTGTGTTCAACAAGGCACATCGCGGTATAACCTTGAACAGCGCTGTGCCTGCTTGCTGGCCAATTTCACAATGTAGCCAGTTAGCCCTTCACACACAAACAAAGAGAGATACCTCGTGCAAAGCCACTAACCAGCTTCACCATACCGTATTTTACTCCATTTTGCTTCACTTCCCTCCACACCACACAGCAACCTAATTCACTCCTACTACACGGATGTGATCATCCTAGTCAGCGATGAGAGCGAGAAGTGGAGAAACATGGTCATAGATAATAAAATGAAGAGGGTAAAGAAGGTACGCCACGGGACGAAGCAAGCAACGGAAAACGCCTCACAAAGTGCCATGCAAATGTTTTTATATATATACCACTTTACATATTGTTCATGTGTTGTTCCCCTCACCCATGCGTGAAGAATTTATACCGCACTTTTATACATCCGCCCCACTTGGTAGGTCATTACGTATGACAAATTTGAAGGAGTCTACTACAAAGAGGACATGATGAACGAGCAAATAAATAAATATGACCTGTTCATTTTTGATGCCACCATACGGACAAAGAAATATGCGCACATCATTTCCAGGATTAAAAAAAACAACAAGTAAGTTGTTGCAGAATGGATAATGACTGTGTTCTGTTATGGTTTATTTTTTGTTTTTTTGCTGCTTACATGTAGCAGCCATTTTGGTCAGCACTTTTGTACCCCATTTTTTGTACCCCGCGCATCTCCCCTCAGAACCTTCACGACGTTGCAATTAGACGAAGACACGTTTGTGGAAAGCGTGGACAAAGTTATAAGAAGGACCTACACCGACCTGAATAAAGGATCCACACAGTAATTTTTTTTTTTTTTTTTTATTACCCCGCTCTTTGCCTGTTCAATGAGTGCACTGCTGTTGCGTAGTTAACGTGGGTTATGTGCGAGCGACCCTGGCACAGCCGAACCTCTCCTTCCCGCATGCACATGTCCTCTTCACCCCTCGAAACTTTATCAGTTCTGTCCCCATCGGGTATCTGAGCCTAGGAAAGGATAAGCTCTTCGATAACATCAGGGAGTAAGGAAGACGAGCGACTACGTGTTCATTTGTGCGCGTTCATTTCTGCATGTTCATTTCTCCACGTTGAGATGCGACGCTGAGATGGCGCCTGCCTAACCGAGCGCGCGCATGCACTTCCGCACTGTACTTTCATGCCCGCCCCCCCCGCAGGACGACAAACGGAATGTTCCAATTTTATGACCAAAAAAAAATTTCAGTGGTGTCAATCAACTTGCGATACGTTAACATGACCATACCCGTGTACATACACGTCTTAAAGGATGGTGTCTCCTCGAACTATTGACCATTTGAGGGATTCCCCATCAGAGAGGACAAAGGCGCGATTTAAAAAAAAAAAAAAAAAAGGGGGAAATAGCCCCATCGGAAGCGTTAATTATAAACACACAACACTTAAAGGGAATTTTTGCAAATGAAACAAAGAGCTAGCTTGTTCGCAAGGGCCTTGAAGCAGTGGATGTGATAAAAGGATAAACAGTTGGTGCATTGCCTGCTCTGCAAAAGGGGAAGGGTATAATAATAGAAGACATGAAGTTTGGGCAGAAGGGGTGTAAAATGGGGTCAAAAAAAAGGCCACACCCTACTCCGGAAGGCAAAGATTCGTAAAGCGTCTCAACACCCCAGCGTTGTAGCTGCCAGTCACCCACCTCCACAATCACTGCGTTATTGCAGAGTGAGCACTTGTCCAAATTTGTAAGAGGGAAGTACTTTATCAGGTCCTTCAGGAAAAAGGGAACATTACGCGCGCGCGTTCGTGTGTGGAAGTGCATGTGCATGGGTGAAAATATCTCGCGATCGCTTCTCTCAACCTGCATGCCGCATTCGTTTGTGTTCATTTTTTTTTGTGTAAACCTGCGCGCGTGTCGTTGCATACACCACACCAACAAGCTCATACATGCACATGACATTCTCGTGCAACTCCTCAATATTGTCCATACCGTAAAAAAACGGAGCCCCAGTGCTAATTCTCCTTGTTCCTTTCGTAGCCAGTTGTGAGTCAGCAATTTGTTAACTGCATGTCAGTGAGGGAAAGGGACGCACACGCGTGAATATATGTGTGTTAGCAGACTGTCTGGGTGGCAACAGAGGGGGATAAAAAGGGCAGGTTGCATTTGTCCTCCCCCCATGTTATAATCAATCAGGCAACTTGGCCCCCTTAAACCTTACGTATACACTTCTGCATGTTAGAATTTTTTATGTTTAACTCAACGCACAACGACTCATAAGTCACGTCCCCCACGTTCACACTTAGGTACCGATTATTACTAATTATGTAATCAATTATTAAGTAATACAAACTTATTTCGTTGGTCTTAAATACAGAATTGAACAGATAATCATCTTTTATGTTAAGAGCACCGGACTCGGGGGATATATCCGTTTGGCCGCTCTTGCTAGGAATGGTTAGCTTCTCGCATCCGATTATGAAGTACTCCTCTCCATTTATCAGTTCGTTCTGTGGGGATGCGAAAAAAGGGAAAAAATGCGTATAGACTTGGGTTCCTTTTTTCATTTACTGAGTCGACATAGAGAGCCATACAAAAGCGGACGCACAGCTCTTGTCCCGTCATGTTGTGAACTCCCCGCCGTGTGCGCGCGCCATACATTAATGATAAACCCGAGCGACTCCAGCTTCTCGTTCGCGTGCTGAATGATATGGTTCACGTCTCCAAATTTTTTTAGCAAATTGAAAACGTACTTCTCCTTCAGACACTGCAAAAGTGTGAGAAGGGGTTGTAAAAAAAATACATGTCAACACGGTTAATGTTACATTTGTGTGCACATCTACCCAAACGTTTTATGGCCTCGGGTTTAGGGAGATAAAAAAAAAAAATGCACACGGAATGAAGCGCTGTGAAGCGGCGTGAAGCAGCCGTATGCCACACCCCTGCCTTGTGGCATTATTTCCCCATTGCTAACAAAAAACGCTGATCATTTCACATCCTTGGGGAGAAGCAATCAGGCGGGGGCATTCCCCCCTATTTTTATTCCCCCCCGTCTTTCTCTTCTACTCCACACTTAACCTTCTCCTTAATAAGAAGCTGCGATAAAATGCGCGCAGCCCACTCCACCTCCATGGTTTACAAAGCTGGCTGGTTTACTAAAATGACGAGATGGGGGAATGGGCGTATAGAATGACAAGTTGCCCTCCGCACATTGAGGTGTAAATGTATTCACGCGGCAGGGGAAAAATATACCGCACGGGCACCCGCATAAGAATGGGCCAAAGTTGTACGCAAAAAATTATATGCAAATACATATGCATAGGCAAGCACATACATTTGCACATTCGAAGCGTAATCTCTTCTCCATACAGTGAATTAACAGTTTCCTGTTTCCCTGCACAGTGCACATAAAGGCAAAGTGTTTGTGCGTCACACCCGCCTAGTTGGAAGTAGTTTCGCTCTTCTCCGTGTATGTTTGCCTTTTTTTTTTTTTTCTTATAGCAGCACACAATCGCGAACACCCAAATTTTCCTCAAAAAAAAAAAAAAAAAATCACATATTAACGGCCAAACATGAGCACAAAAAATTCAGGATAAATTTTCCCCACAAAATAACTACCCCTGCTGCATGAATTTCCCCCCCCCCCTTCACCCTATGTCGGTCACGTATATAAATGCAACCTTCGAATTGGTATCGTTCTGTAGGATTTTCCGGGGGTGTTACACACTGTGCCCACGAGTATCAGCGCTTCTTACCCCCCCAAAAGACGCAACAGGGGGAGGAGATGCCAACGTTAGCGGCATACTTCATGATCGACTGTTGTTACCCGTATGTTGCGGACACTGGTCTTCTTACATGAAGCCCACACCGATCTAGTTCCCCTCTGTGTGCAGCACAGCACCTACTATGTACTATACGCAAGCGCCTTACGTCCTACGTAGGTCGCGGCTGCACCCCGACCATGTATTTCCGACACAACAACTGTACCATTGTAGCCCCCGTGTTAAAATCGCAAAGGCGGCGGCCAAATATTCTCCCAAGCAGCATCGTCAAAAATACGTGAATAAAATAATAAGCAAGTGAATTATATTTTGTTATGCATCATTCTATGCACATTTATGTGGGTTCTTCCTAAGCAACTTCCCCCACCCCCAAAGCTGAACGTCTCCCCTAGGCGCATTCATCTTTTCCAACACGCTTGCAACGTTCACTTTGGTGTTCCTTTTTCCCCGTAGGCCAAAATTGGGTGCCATTTTTATACTTGAAAAAAAAAAAAAAAAAAAAAATCTACAAATGTCAATCCTTCGCGCCTTTTAAAGCGGCGTTATTTTTTCTTTTTTTCGCTTTTTCCCTTTTCACTTTTTTTTCGCACAAGGATGGGAAAAATATGTGACCTTCTCCTTTGGTCATCCCAATTTTGAAGAGTGATTTATTAAGGAATACTTTTTGCGTTCTTTTTTTAAAGCAATTTTTGGTTTCATTTTTTCGCGTTTTTCCCTCAGCTTGTTTTGGTAACCTGGCATTTTGCCTTTTTTCACATTTTCCTTTTTTTCCTTTTTGTTGCCTCCCGCCCCGCTTTTTGTCCTCACCTGGTTATGCGCCCGTGTTCCCTCCTTCGCGCCCCTCTGTTCGCGCAAACAACTGGGGAAACCGCGGCTTCAACCACCCTGTTTTGACGAAGGCAAATTTGCAAGCATTTTTCTAAAAACATCAGTGCGCTCGATCGCGCGCACGTTTTGCTTCGACCCAAGCGCGACCTATGCGCATGTAAAGTACAATACATAGGTACGTGTATGCATAATAACATAATACCATGCGCGGGGTTTTCTCCCCCCCTATTTGCATTCACCACCCCCACGAACAACACATGTATGTGCCATCGAGTGCTGAAATGTACACAAGAGAAATATATAAAAATAAAACGACGCACCCCATCCAGAAGGTCGGAATATAAGCTGCTGAGCTTGTGAGACACACGCGGGGTGAGGCGATCACCAAGTTGTTTTTCCCCTCGAAGAATAGTTCCTCGTCTAGCGGCATACGTGTCCGAAATTGAAGTACCACATTGTTTGCACATAATCCAACAGCAATTGAAGACATTCTAGTTTCACACCAGGGTAGTAGCATTTTGGTTTTTTTTTTCAAAAGAAAACCGCCCCCATACGCGTGTGAAGATCGAGCTGTACGCCTGTAAAGTGGATTATCGCCCTGTGTCCCAATTGGAACAAATTTGTCCGAAAGGAACTCCCCATCAAGAGACGTGCGTACTGACGCCGCTTCACTTCGCTTCGCTTCTAACCACTTCGCTTCGCATCGTTCGCATCGCACCGCTGCCCAGGATGAAGAAGAAGAACAAGGAGGACTTGTACAAGGAGAACAAGCTGGAGGCGTCCAAATTAAGAATCGCCATCGTGAGTACCGACAAATGCAAGCCCAAAAAGTGCCAACTGGAATGTAAAAAAAATTGCCCAATAGTTAAAACAGGAAAGTTCTGCATAGAAGTAGAGCACGCATCTAAGATAGCCTACATAAGTGAAACCCTATGTATAGGATGCGGTATATGTGTGAAGAAGTGCCCCTTCTCCGCCATAACAATTATAAACCTGCCAAAGGATATAAACAAAGACGTTGTGCACAGGTATGGACCCAACACCTTCAAACTACACAGACTACCCATACCAAAGCTGGGTCAAATATTAGGTCTCGTAGGAACTAATGGAATAGGAAAATCAACAGCTTTAAAAATTTTGTCCTCTAAATTGAAACCCAATTTGGGCAAATTTAGTAACCCACCAGAATGGAGAGATATCTTATCCTTCTTCAGAGGAAATGAGTTGCAAATATTTTTTACAAAACTGTTAGAAGAACAACTTACTCCAATTATAAAGCCACAAAATGTAGATTTGATCCCAAAACAAATTAAAGGAAATATATTAGAAATAATAAACAAAAAGGATAAACTAAATAAAAAGGATCAATATATGAGTGCACTGGAATTGGACCACCTACTAGATCGTAATGTAGAAGACCTAAGTGGAGGAGAGTTACAAAGGTTTGCTTTACTTTTATCCATTATAGGACAAACCACTAATGTATACATGTTTGATGAACCCAGCAGCTACCTTGATATTAAGCAACGTATATCCATGGCCAAAATTATACACAGCTTAGTCAGACACGATAATTATATTATCGTAGTAGAACATGACCTTTCCATATTGGACTACCTAAGTGATTATGTATGTTGTCTCTGGGGAAAAGCAGGGGCATACGGAGTTGTCACTTCCCCCTTTTCAGTACGAGAAGGAATTAATGTCTTCCTCGATGGCTTTGTTCCAACTGATAACTTACGCATAAGAGAGGAATCCCTAAATTTTAAACTAGCCACAGATCAAGACGTAACAGATGAAGATAAAAAAAGATTACACTTTTATAATTACCCAACTATTAAAAAAACACTAAATAGTTTTACCTTAACCATTGATAAAGGAATTTTTTCTGAATCGGAAATATTTGTTCTCTTAGGACAAAATGGTAGTGGAAAAAGTACATTCATACGTCTCTTTGCAGGACTCATCAAACCAGACAATGTAGAAAGTCTTAGCTTTCTTGAATCACTTAGCGTTTCTTACAAACCACAACAGATTCAGGCAAAATATACGGGCACCGTTAGACAGCTACTCATGTCCAAGTTAAAAGGCCTATACACAGATCCTTATTTTAATAATGAAATTATTAAGCCATTAAAAATTGAACGCATCCTCGACAATCAAGTGTTAACCCTATCAGGAGGAGAGTTACAAAAAGTTGCCATTATCATTACCCTCGCTAAAAATACAAACATCTACCTAATCGATGAACCCTCGGCCTACTTAGATTCTGAACAAAGAATTATTGTCTCCAAAATTATTAAGCGATTCATTCTTAATACAAACAAAACAGCTTTTATTGTAGAGCATGATTTCATTATGGCTACCTATCTGGCCGATCATGTCATCGTGTTCGATGGACAGGCAGGAGTCAACACCGTTGCCAATACACCACAAACACTCGTCGCGGGCATGAACAAGTTTTTAAAAATAATTGATGTCACCTTTAGGCGAGACCCCACCAACTACCGACCCAGAATAAACAAGTACGACAGTGTCAAGGATAAGGAGCAGAAGCTGAACGGTAAAATGCCCGAGGGGGAAAAGAGAGAAAAACGCGCGTGTCCGCACATACACATACATGCATGTACATGCGCTTGTATTCATTCCTGTACGCCATTTCTTCCCCTACCCGCAGGCACCTACTTCATCATCGACGAGTGAACCACTACTGTGCAAGCCAAGCTGACAGCCCAACGATTAGCAAATTAGCATTTCCACGGACCACCTCAAAAACGATTCGGAGAGACATATTAACCCCCCTTCAGGAAAATAACAAATTGGTAGCACTTCCCGTGTGTTGAATATGCCTGGGCTAGGTGGGCAACCCTGGATGCGCTGGCTGACGCCCCTCCCCTGTCTGTTTACTTTTCTATGTTTGTATGAATGCGCTGCTATACGTGTCGATTGTGCCCCCTTTTAAACCCACCAAAAAAGTCCACATGTTGCTTAGCTCTTTTCGTGTGCCCATTTTTTAATTCATGGCCCGTGCCCCCCCCCCCCCGCCTTCCCCCCCGTGCAAGCAATTTTCACTGATATATAAATTTTAAAAACTTATCTTTTTTCGTTTAAACATTTTTAAAATTAGCTCTCGCCATCCGTCTCACGGACTCATTACGATAATGTCTCTCTCGCCAATACCACCACCCGATGCTAATCATTCGCATTACACCCTATGCACCCCTGGTCCCTTCTCCGTTGCCCAATTCTTATATTCCATACACCTCTAATGTATAATTACGCATCCTTGAGTAAAATCTCCAACTTGGTTTAAAATAACAAATGTTGAAAAAGCCACACAGCTGCTAAAATTTCGCATGGGTGTACACGGGCCAGTTTCTGCTATCATTGGTATTAAAACCACACTCACGCTGCTCCTAAAATGATGTGTTGCCAAAGGGCAAACGGGGTAAGTAACATCCCGACCTCATTGAAAACAACTCATGCGGTTCTGTTCACATAAATATGCATACACTAAAAAAAAAGGCACAGAATATTTTTTTTTACACAGATTTTACTGCACGTGAATTTACCCACTCGGTTATTTACCTGGCTTCCCTGTGAAGTGCACTCCCATTTGCCAATTGCTTTTGCGCTAAATGTTTCATTTTAGCAGAATACAAATATATATAGGTTATGCTGCTGCTGCAAGTTGCGTTGCCTGTTTTCGTTTTGCTTCCTTTTTTAGCGACTCCATGTTTAAACCGGTCCCATGACATTCCAACCCTCACCTTCGTTCCCCGGTCACACGCTTACGCATACGCACAGCAGGAATTAAAAATGAAAAAAGGAATATGCGCGTCGCATTATATACTATGAAGTGTTTTGTTAGTTTTTTAGCAAAAAAAAGTAAACACAGTTTGACCAAATTTGCGCCATTTTGTGCGCTTTTTTTTTTTTTTTTTTTTTTTTTCTGGACCCCCCCCTTCTGCTTCTCCACCTGTGCCCTTCCCCCAGCGAGTCACAAAATGCACGCATAAACTGACAGCAAAAAAAAAATACATCATTTTTTCCATTACCAGAGTGAACAGAAGCAAGGGTATGTATATATAAACCCCCCCTTGCGAGACGTGCTATGGCAGGCCACCCGTTCAATCATCAGCGAGTGAAGAGAAGAGGAGGCCACCGCATAAAGCATATGTGCACCCCATAGGATTATCCGCCATTCGTACGTACTCCCATGCGAACAGCCTTACAGCGTCCAAGAGTCATCACCCGAGGAGATCTCCCATCTCCAAGTGAGCTACATCCCTCCTCACCACATAATACACACGGATGGTCTTCATCGCGGCGTGCTAAAGGATAAGTGAGTTTATATATAAAAGCATACGCAGTTGTATGAACTCCTAGTGGGACAACCAACCACACAAATCCATCATCTCAGATTTCCCCTCTACAAACCACTACCAAATAAATGGCGGGAATTCCCTCCTCCCTTCGAGAATTATTTTATTCCTTCTCGGATGGCAATGGAATGAACAATGAAGCGCTGGCGGACACCAGCGAGCAGGTGTACATTTCCCCCCTGGCCCTCCTCAAAATTTTGAAGCATGGACGGGTAAGCCACACGTGGGGAGTGTCCCATGGGTACATCTCCAAGTGGAGTTACCACTTAACCACTTCACCGCTTAACCTCTTCACCGCTTAACCTCTTCACCACTTAACCACTTCACCGCTTAACCTCTTCACCGCTTAACCTCTTCACCGCGTTACCTCTTCACCGCTTAACCTCTTCACCGCTTCACCGCAGGCAGGAGTGCCCATGGAAGTGATGGGTCTGATGCTGGGCGAAATAGTAGACGAGTACACCATCCGCATTGTCGACGTCTTTGCGATGCCACAGTCAGGTAACAGTGTGAGTGTGGAGGCAGTGGACCCCGTGTACCAGACCAACATGTTAGAAGAATTAAAAAAAACAGGAAGACACGAAATGGTTGTTGGTTGGTACCACTCCCATCCTGGATTTGGCTGCTGGCTATCAGGAACAGATGTAAACACACAAAAAAGTTTTGAGCAATTAAACCCAAGGACTATTGGAGTTGTCGTAGACCCAATACAATCTGTAAAAGGAAAAGTGGTAATTGATTGCTTCAGATTAATAAACCCACATATGCTCATGCTAGGACAAGAACCCAGACAAACCACCTCAAATATTGGTTACCTCACCAAACCAACACTAACAGCACTAGTACATGGCCTCAACAGAAACTACTACTCCATAGTTATCAACTATAGAAAAAACGAATTGGAAAAAAACATGCTATTAAATTTACACAAAGATGTCTGGGCAAACCCCTTAAAGCTAATTGATTTTAATGAGCAAAAAAAAAATACAGACGAAAATTTAGAAAGCATTAAAAAGCTCACAGCCCTGTATAACAAAAATTTACGAGGAGAAATGAAAAAAACGAATCAGGAAATTATTCTAGAGAATATCGGCAAAATAGATGCAAAAAAGAGAATCCAAAACTCGGTGGAAACGTTACTCAATGATTCTATTCTCACCTGTATCGGTATGTCCACCCCTTGCTTGTTCATAAAATTGGCAAGCACACACTCACACCAATGTACTTCATGCATACAGTTGCATTTCGTTCATCTTGCTCATTTTTTTTCTTTCCCCCTCAGGAACCATGGCAAACACTCTGTTCTTTTAGCCCCACGTGGTGTAAAAGATAAAATAATTTTCTATTTTTTTTTTTTTTTTTTTTTTTTCTGTAATGGTACACCTACATGTTGATGGAGGAGTTGCGCAACGATTCTCCCATGGTGACCAATTTAGACGAGGTTTTGACCCCCCATTATAAGTGGCCATGTAAGACGGGCCAAAATTAGCCAACCACCTATGCGCCCATATATGAGAATCACAACCATGTGACACCCCTCGCCGTATCACCACAGCGAGATAGTTAAATGCAGACGCAGAATAAACCAGGCGCACTCTGTGCATCTTAACAAAGACTGTCCCCCTTTTTGTTGTAACTCATTAATTTCAATTTTTAACTTAACCTAAACCACGTGCTTAACCTTTGTGTGTATTCAGTTCAACAACCACATACACACTCTGCTTGTAGCGTTTACGCATTTATGTGTACCGACATTTTGAAATATCATTATAGTCGCTTTTTTCTTTTTTAAATATGTGCTCACTGAGGTGTGCTACTCCCAAACGGGAAGGCAAGGATGGCTTTTTTCTGCCCAACACACCAACGAAATAGGAGCAGATCATTTGAAGCTCTGTTCTGTTCCTTTTTTTTTTTTTTTTTTTAATAGCAATATATCGACGCAATTTTTACCCTGTACTTTTAAAATGTTGATCAATCATTTTCTCCTGAAAAAACGAAAAATTTAAATGTTCCATTTGGAACAAAAAGAGGGATTCATCCAGATACATATTTTTCTCCTTTGTTCGAATTTTTTTTTTAACCTTTCTTCATATATTTCTACCTCAGTAAGGCACTTATTCTCCCCCGCACGCACATCAATTCTCCCATTCAAAAAGCAAAACATCGAATTGGCTATTTCACGAGGATCGCCAAATGTACCATATCACCCTTGTGCCGACACTTCCCCTCCTCCCCAGCCCCAAAAAAAAAAAAAAAAAAAAAAAAAAAAAAATACATAATAATAGATTGAGTTCTCCCTACACACTTGGCTAAACAAAAATGCTCAGGAAAATCCTTTTCTCCTTATCCTGTGTGATGCTTTCACAACTGAGTTGTAAGCCGGAACTACCAGACCAAGTAGCCTCTACTTCAATCCACAATGAACACCTTCAAACTCCTCATTGTTGCCTCCTCCCTTCCGCAGGTGTATCTGCCAACTACAAAGAATGCTTCATGGTAACCGGCGACGAAGAAGTTCTGTCCTACTGTAAAAACGAATCTGATTGCTATTTTAAAAATGTTGATGGCTCCGACTACTCAACGATTATTTGTGTGTGTAAAAAATATACGGATGATTATTTTTTCGCCGGACCGGATTGTTCAATAAGTAAGTTTCTTCTTTTTTTTTTTTTTTTCTACCCCCCTTGTATGAAAGTAGGTGGCTAATGTAATCTGTCTCATGCACATATATTACCCTTGTTGAAAGGACCCCCCTCCCAATGGTCACTTCTCCCATTTTTATTGCATCCTATTCAACCTCACCGCCTCCCCTCTTCTCGTTCTATACAGAAATTGCTTACCACTACCAAAAGATGAGTAAAAGCTACATGTTTTTTTCTCCCTTTTAATATTCAGCTACATATAACCATTTCGTCTGCGCACTTTTGCAACACATTTTTTTTTTGTTGTTTTGTCCCCCTCCCACATTACAGAAAACAACGAAGTTATGAACACCAGTTGGATCGAAGACTTGTTCAACATCAACTCGTGGAAAAATGAAGAAAACAGGGTCGGTAAAATTTGCATCAACCCTCGCTGCAGGTAGGATGCCATCAGTTCAGCATAATATAATGTGCTACTTGGTGTATTCAAAAGAAAAAACAAAAAAAAATCAGCGCAACATTAAGAGGATAAATATGAAGTTATGTACTACACTGAAAAAATGATCAAACGGTGCGCACACCGAAATTGCCAACAAGGGCACAACCATCAGACAGCTTCACAAATACACATGTAGACACATATGGTTGTGCATCTTACACAAAATGGGTATGTAAACCCCTACTCTTGGGACAATTCCTCCCGAAGCATCTGCTCATACTCATGCAACAGTTTATTTTTTATACTTCTAGCCACCATAATATACTCCCTCTGGGCAGGCTTCAGCAGTTCATCCAAATCTTCATTAATCATTGCGTTAATATTTTTTTTCTTTTCGCGAATGTTTGTTAATACCTCATTTTCGTACTCGTAAAATTCGTTTATCTTTCTCTCCTCATCGGCAATGCTCGGGATATCAACTTCGTTAACTCTGTCCATGTTCACCTCCGTTACTTCTCTCTTAACCTGATCAGTTAAATCTTTCAATATGACCATTTGGTTCACCTCCGTATCGTTTGCGTTGTAGGTGAGCTCTCCGTTTTGGTCACCCACGCTTAGGTTAACCGTTCTGTCGTACTCGCCCTCGTCCTCAGCTGTGGAATCTTCCGTGTCGTCATCGTCATACTCATCACCATCATCTTCGTTGCTTTCTTCCCCTAGCGTGGCAGCACCGCGCACGTTTAAAAACGATGCTTCCGTTGGCGGTTCATTTATGCCACGATCATCCCCTTGCCTCAAACAATGTACACTTCTAAGCACTCCCCTATGATGCGCACTATTAGGTCTCCCGCCCAAATCATCAGCATCAGTTAATCTCAATACAGATGTGCCACGTTCAAGCACACCATCTGCATTTTCATTATCCACCCATCTTTCGGCACTCCCATATGTCGTTACAGTGCAGAGAAAAATCAACAGGATGCATTTAAAACAACAGATGCACACCTTCATTCTGTAGGAATTGACAAATAAATGGGGAATACATGCACTTTCCTGTTTACGTAAATGGTAAATGAGCACACGTAGTAAGGAAAAACAACAACAAAAAAAAAAAAAAAAACTGCCTTCCCCCTTGTCAGACACACGTCTCTTATTGCAAAAGTTAACTACACACAATTATGAAACAGAATGAAGAAGGGAATATAAAGCTCTTCTCGCAAAATGCACAAACAATGAACCACTGTTGTGAAATTTTGAGATAGACAAATTGAGTTATATGGCTGAAAAATGGACAAACAGTGTCTTTCTCCTTATTTCCCTCTTAAGTACGTGTATTTACGCACACACGTGTATGAATGTCAGAAAAAATCTAAGTTCGCAGGAGTCTGCTACATTATACAATACGAGCTACAAAATCGTTGCGCGTTTTCCCCACCTTCTGGCTAGCTATGAAAAAAACATATATATAATAACAGCTACATATCTTATGAACGTTCATAATTTTTTTTTTTTTTTTTTTTTATTTAGCTAGCCAACTATACGACATAGCTATATGCCCCCCATTGCAAAACAACGTGCATTTGCACACACCGAGCCTGCTCTCTCTCCCAAAATATTCAAAACAAGCACATAAAAGTTAATGAAAAAAAAATCAAATAAAAATAACATTACATATCATACATTTAAAAAGCTCCATCAAAATGGTCAAAAGTGTCTTTTAATTCAAACAATGCCTTAAAACAAACGGCTCCTCAATTGTTCCACCACTCCAGGGCATCAAAAAAAAAAAAAAAAATGCTACAGAAAAAATAAATCCCTCAAACTAACAATAGCATCTTGTTCAAACTTAGCATATTGTACCGACTACAGCGGCAATTTATTCCCTTTTAATGTGTAGACCATCTCATAATGCGAAAGCTTAGATCAACGTTGCTCGTTGCAAACGGATGTTCTTTAAAATGGCTGAGAATTGGTCCTCACTTGCACATTTTCCACCTTTTCCGTTTGTCCGCCCCTTCTATCATCCCCGTCTCAGTCGCACAGACGAATGACGCAAGGCCAAAACAGACTTTAACCACCTCTCACCTGTTCGCTGATGCTTCGGTCCATGGAGTCACTGCACCACCAAAAAGATGGAAGCAAGGAACACACAAGCACATCTCGCAGAGCTTACGCGACAAATAAGAATCAGTCAAAAAATGATCAATGTTTTGGTTTAGCAAATAGGCTATAAGTGAAAAAACAGTAAAACAAATCATTCAACAAATCAACCAATGAATAAATTACGCAACGAACCGCTTATGCAGTACGTAACAAGGAAAAAAAAAATAAATAAAATACATACATACGGACGACATAATCGATAGTTAAAAACAAATTAGCAAATAATGCCAAATTGAAACAACAAAAATCACAACACGTCAGGGAACAATACGCTTTTCAAAGGGTTACAGTTACGCATGCATCAGACATGGCGCGAGTAATTTTTGTAAATGGAAAAAGACACGAAAATCTTGCTCATGCTCATTTTTGGAACATGTGCATATCACTTACAACGTTAAAAAATAAAAGAAGTGTGCAACAGGTGTAGTGGGCACAGTTGTAGAATAAGCTAAGTTGTATCTACTCCTTTTTCTCTTCATTCGATTTTTCAAAATCATCGAATTCTTGAATTATTTTCTTGTCAGAAGGGACGGGATTTTTCAACTCGTCCTTTACTTTTTTTTCCATCTTTCTCAACTTTTTGTATCCTTTATTAATTTTCTTTATTTCACTTTTTATTTTCTTCCTGTTTGAGGTATTCTCACTGGATTCGTCTGATATGCTTAAGAAGGACTTTTTGCTTTTCGAAACTTTTTGCCCCGAGGGATCGTTATAACTCTGTTTTGAAGCCGCCTTCTCCTTAGGTATCACCGTACTACCCTTTATGCCAGTATTAGGTGATTTATTCGTTTTATTTCCATTTCCAGCTGTTCTTTTCTTGGAGCTTGCGCCGCTACTTTTCGCTTCCTTTTTTGTTTTCTCGACTTCCTTCTGCGCGTTGTCGATGACTTTCTGCGCTTTGTTTACGCCTGCTTGAGCTGCTGCCTGCGTCTTATCGATGACTTTCTGCGCTTTGTTTACGCCTGCTTGGGCTGCTTCCTGCGTCTTATCCATGACTTTTTGCGCTTTGTTTACGCCTGCTTGTGCCGCTTCCTGCACCTTATCGATGCCCTTCTGTGCCACTTTCTCCGCCTTATTAATGCCCTTCTGTGCCACTTTCTCCGCCTTATTAATGCCCTCCTTGGCCACTTTTTTCACCTTGTTTTTCCCCGTCTGGATTCCTTTTTTTGCCACCTGTTTCACATTTTTTTCCCCCTTATCAATACTGTTTTTCGTTTCCTTCTTGACTTTATCAATCTCATCCTTCGCTACATGCACAGCCTTATCGAAGACTTCTTTGCCTTGCTTTTTCAGACTCTTTCCTCCCTTTTTCGTCGAATCCTTAATTTTACGAATGCCATTCTTTCCGATATCTTTTAGGTTCTTCACTCCATTTTTCGCTTCCTTTTTAAGTTTATTCACATTCTCCTTTGAGACCAATTTCGCCTTCTTAACAGATTTCTTTACCCCTTTTTTTGCCTTCTTATATTTCTTAGAAGTCTTTTTAGATGCGTCTTTAATTTTCCTCACCATTTTGTTAGCCTTCTTGGATAGCTTGTCTATGTTGAATTTCTTCCCTATGACACTGGACACTTTATTTGTAGCTTTATCTATTAACTTGTTCGATCCTCTTTTTAATAAATTACCCAACAGGTCCTTCACGCCTAGAGATGAACGGTTGGGTTCCTCATCATACTCATCATCGTCATCCTCCTCCTCATCATGCTCTTCCTCATCCTCTTCTTCTTCCTCGTCCTCATCATCGTCGTCCTGCTCATCATCGTCGTCCTCCTCATCATCCTCGTCCTCCTCATTCTCGTCCTCTTCTTCTTCGTCGTCTTCTTCATCCACTTCCACTTCATCCTCTTCCTCATCATCGTCATCCTCCTCTTCTTCCTCCTCATCGTCTTCATCTTCATCATCCTCATCCTCGTCATCCATTTCATAATTTCTCATCCCTGTAGACATATCTGCAAAGGACTCAGTATTAGCGAAAACTTGTCGGTTGTCTTGCCAGTTAGATGTAGCCTCCTTAGAGTTGTCCCTTTCGCTAGCTCTAACATCTATGTGACGCTCATCGCCCATAAATGCACTGTGTAATTTCGCAGAGCCATATTCTACTATCGGCATGCGTGAAGAACTATTGAAAAAGGAATCTGTATATGTTGCGTCTTCCCCGCCTGAATTACTCGCACTTGCGTTGCTCAACCCATCACCTTGCACCTCATCGTTGAGCATCTGAAAATGTCCCCCTATCAAATTATGCGAAAGAGAGGAATCACGTGCAAATATTTCGCTTTGTAAAATTCCTTTAAAAAAGACTACACATTTGTCCTTATCATCACCATTAGCCAAAGAGTTCTCCTCCGAGCTTTCCCCTGGGGCATATCCAAACTGGTGATTGCTGATATCTACTTCTTTCGTATTGGGTAATTCTTCCACTAGGGTTTTCTTCTCCTCCTCGCTCGATAGTATAGAATCTAATAGCTCACTCCCTTTCAGAACGTCATAACAATCAAATGTGCGCTCAATTGAGTCTACGAAAATTTCGTCCAGGTCTTTGTCCGAAACCCTGTCCGTGTTAGCATCTTCTGCATTAGTGCTTCCATTGCGTAGTAAATTTATTACCTTTTTTTTCATCATAAAAGAGTCCTTTAAATTTGCCAATATTTCGTAAAGCGCAGTTTTTTCAGCATTATTATCAGGCGCATTATCTTCAAACGCATTACCGGTCGAACTGGCATCGCCTGCTTCCACGTCATGGCACCCTTTTATAAGATCCCTTTCGCTCAATAATTTGTTTTTGATTGACGAAGGGATGGCTAACCTACTACTCATACTCTCCAGGCAGCTAACAATATCATCGATAGTTTCGACATACTCCGAATTAGGGCATGAAGTAAGATCATCATTCCTCAGTTCCACACTTGATAGTATGGATTCATTTGACTCGGTCGATTTGTCCATGCGCTTGTACTCATGATCTAGAATCTGTTCAGTATCATTACCTTGATCCTCTTTCGGCAAAAAGGACATATAATCTAGCGATTTATCCAATCCTTTGAATAACTCACTCTTGCTATTTTCACTTAATTTATCCAAATTTAAATTAAATGTGTACCTCATGTAGCAGTAGGTAGTGGATTCTGCATCCGATTTTTTCTGATAGACCTTGCGCAGCATATGGACATCATTTTCAGTAGATTCCTCGGTTGAAATAACTTTCATGTCACTTGCAGCATGTGCATCGTATTCCTCCTCACTCCCAGCTTCATCTGCCACCCCCGAAGCGGCATCATTGCTATTATCATCCTCGTCATTATCATCATCCCCATCAGCACCATCGTCGCCCGAATCATCACTCAAATATTGCAAACTTGCGGCGTTGCCCCTTTTTGACGCATTCATGCCTTTAATTTTGTCCACTTCTTGCACAACTAAGGCTCGCTCGAGAACATTTTCCTTTATTTTTTCGAAAATTTTTATTTTAATTTTTTTCCCATTCTGAAGAATGTTCTTTTCTTTCTTCAAGTGCTCAGGCGACAGTAACAAATCTTTGTCGACCAATTCTATTTTCAAATTGATCTTTTTATCATGAGACATACCATAGTACAGAGCCGGGAGGCAAAAAAGCACAAAGCAAAAAATAGCGGCTAATGTGTTAAACTTCCCCATATCTATGTATGATATATATTAATCAAAGATACACTGTATGATTTGAAAAAAAAAAGAAAAAACAAAATTGCGTGTTGATATGTAGAACAAAACGCAATAGTTAAAAACGAGACAAACGTCTGATTAATCAAACTCGTCGTAAAACCGCGTCTTACTCAAACTTGTTGATACACACAACGTTCAATCAAAAATAATGCATTGTTGTTAAACCTGTCAAATTAAATGGAGATCGTTTTTGTAAATTTTTATTCTTAAAATAAATATATTTAAATGTATTTTTATGTCATTTTTAAATTGACATTTAAAAAAAAAAATGTGTTGACGAAAAAAAGAAAATTCGAAAAAGGAAAAGCCTATACAACGTTGTTTTGTTTTATTTTTTTTTTCCCTAAATAGCTACAAAAAGTTAAAGAAGTGTAAAAATGTAGCTATTTTACTGTGTTACCTGACCCGTTCATATGAAATTGTCTTTATTATTTCCTTTTCTAGAACATTTTTTGAAATCCAGCTAGCTATTTTGCATTATTCTAGGCTAACGAAAAAAATATATATACCTGAACCGTACATAATAAAATAGTTGCATAAGCTATTTTGGCTGTTTTTTTTTTTTTTTTTTCCCTGAGCTTGCGAGCAATACTCCATTTTGTGTGTAACTTAAATAGCGCTACATTAGGTAATGTTTCCCTATTTGAAGTTCAAAGGAAAAGCGTAAATCACAAACACTGGGACGTTTTGTATGCCCTATCTTTTTGTGTCTCTATGAAGGGGCTACCCATTGTGTTGCAAAAAAATTGGCACAAAAATTACAATTGTTGTAATTTCAACAAAGACTGGAAAATTTTCAATGTGAATTAGCAAAATATAAAATAAACCTCGACCTTTCACAGGCCTTGTGCGCCTAACCAGCGAAAATGCAAAATGATTAGCCGCTTAGCCTTTACAAGTGACTACCACACAATAGCTGATAATGAACAGAAATATAATTTTACATCACCCGTTTGAGTAGCCCAAGTACAAAAGCGCATACAGACAGTTCAAAAATGAACCATTTAGATGGGCACATTTCCAAGAGATTCCCTTCTCAATGGAAAAGACACAGCGTCATTAGCATCAACCAACCACTAGCATATAAAACGACAATTTAGGCATTTATACCATTAGGTCCTTTGAATGCACAATGTAGTTGGTGCCTTCAAAAAAATGCTTAATAACGCTCACCAGGAGAGAGGCTTCCTAATTAGGGGGGATAAATGCCCACACACTTCGGTCAACCCTACGCAGAGGGGGGGGGGGGGGGCAATACATTTATCACAACATGTCCAACCATTGCCAGAGCGCTACCTCTTTCAAAAACTTTACAACATTCGCATGATATTGTTTCATTTCTAAACACTCAAGTGTTATTATTAACCGCTAATGCGTTGGGGCAGAAAAAAAAAAGAAACCGTTGCAGAGCGAGATTAGAATGTGCGGTGTGTTAGGTAGCCCAATTGGGTCTATTCTCATGTGGGGGATGGAGAAAATAAAAAAAAAAAAAAAAATGGCACAATGATGCAATGACGCATTAATACAAGCGCCGCTTAGGAGACTAAGCCAAGGAAATGATCCTGTTCCGCGCTCGGCTAAGCATATCACCCAACAGGGGAGAAACTTCCCAAAGCGCACTAAAATATGAAAATGACGCGCGTTCAGGTTAGTTCGACAACCACACGACGAATCCCTAGTGGTACTTCTTAACCGCCTTCAGTGCTAGCTCCTTTATGATGACTCCTTTCCCCTTTGCTGCCGACCCGAAGGCCTTGTTTTTACCTCCGCCAGAATGGCCTTCCACCGACTGCATTATCTCCTTCATGAAAGCATCTGCCTGTATAGTGGTCCCCTTCAACGAATCCTTCATTTCGAAAACGCAGTACGTGTTCTTCTCATCATCAATGATGAAAAAGTAGCTGCACAATTTGTTATGTTTGCAATACGACTGGGCGATTTTCTCTAGCACCTTTTGGTTTCCAGATAGAGCATCAAAAAGCTTGACATCTACAAGAACACCACTTTTGTCCTCCAAGGCATAATCCTTTCCAATAATGGTAGCCTTATTGAATAACTCCTTCTGCATGTTCTTTGTCTTCTCGATAATATTTTTTTCAATTTTTTCTAATTTCTGCAATATTTGATTTTTCCTAATATATGGCAAAAATTTATCTTCCTTTAGAACCCGTTTGTACGTCTGTACGTCAGCTAGTTTGCCTTCATTGGGGTCATCAAAGATGTGTTTGTACTTGGCAAGCAAGTGATCAAATTTGGCTTCTACCTCTTCTGCCTTCTTATTGGTAACAGCATTGATACGGTAAATTCCCTTCCCGATGCTCTCCTCTGATGTTATAATAAACTTCTTTATAAATTTCGTGTTCGCGATGTGGGTACCTCCACACAATTCAATGGAACACAAGTAGGAGTAGTTTACGTCCAGATGGTTCAGAATTTTGTCAACGTCATTATCTATAAACACTACATTGACAACATCTGCATAATCTTCCTCAAAAATGGCTCTTATCCCTTTAATCTTTTTGCTCTCCTTAAGATCCATGGTTCGAACGGAGACAGCTAATTGTTTCTTAATTAAATCGTTCACTTGGTTTTCAATTTTGCTAACCAATTCGTCACTTACATTTTCGAAGAAGGAGAAGTCAAATCTTAGCTTCTCATCATCCACTAGAGAACCCTTCTGATCACAATTAAAAATGGAGTTCACTCCACTTTGTTCCTTCTCACTCGTTGCTTGGACCAAATCGCCATTCTTACTATCCCCCTTCCCATGCACCACATACTCCGTTAAAACTTTCTTTATGACAAAATTTAGTAAATGAGTTGCGGTGTGGTTGCATGCAATTAATTTTCTCCTCTCAAAATTGACCACGGTATAAACAGAGTCGTTTTTTTCTATTTTGCCCTCTTGGAGAACACCAATGTGCAGCACATACTCGTTCATTTTTTGCACATTAAGTACTTGGAATTTCATGTTCTCATTTTGAATGACCCCCGTGTCGTATATTTGCCCTCCATTTTCATAGTAAAAATTGGTTTTCTTCAAAATGAGTGCATATTTCTTATCATCACTCGGGGTTTTAATGCTATCTATGAAATTCTCCCCATCGTAGATGACCATAATTTCTGTCTCAACTTTTACCATGTCATTCTTCTTATCATCGTTATTCCATTTGTATTTGTGGTGATCCTCCGTCCCTTCCACACCATGCTTCTGCTTCAACTCATGGGCCTTCTCCACTGGCAGGTCAAAACATTTATTAATCTTAAAATTGTTCGTATCTGACACGAGCTGATGCTTCCTAAACAACTCATTAAATTCGGACATGCTTAATTTGAAATTTTTTTCTTCACACATTATTTGTATGAGATCGATAGGGAATCCATAAGAAGTATACAATTCGAATGCATCCTTGCCACTGAAAATGTTGTCCCCCCCTGCGTTGTTACTCTTTTTAATAATTTTATTAAACTGATCCACACCTTTTTCTAACGTCCTATTGAAAACCATTTCTTCCTGTTTAATCACATTCTTAATATAATTCACTCGGTTTTCATCCTTCAAATCTGTAAAGCACTCCTTCAAAATCTGGCACACAGAATCCACCAACTTGTAAAACCACAGAACGTTGCTCTCTACCTGAAATATCTGCTTACCTATCCTGATGGCCCTTCTGATAATCCTCCTTATGACATAATTTCGTCCTTCATTTCCAGGCAGACAACCATCACTAATAGCTATTGTTACACATCTTATATGATCACTAACAACTCGGTACGCATAATCAATTCGATCCACATCTTCCTCATTAACCTTACCTCCATACTCAGGAAGGTGAGTAAAAATTTCCTTTATCTGCTTAAAAATGGGGATGAACAAATCCGTATCGTAATTACTCTCCACATTCTGTAATATCGATGTGATCCTTTCTAACCCCATTCCTGTATCGATACATGGGAAGGGCAACTTGTGCATATTTTTCTTCTCATCCTTATTATACTGCATGAAAACTATGTTCCATATTTCCAACACACTGGGGTCGTCCATATTCACCAATGAAGAAGCATCTCTCTTGCCAATTCGATCATAATGAATTTCTGAACAAGGACCACAGGGACCTGTCTCTGCCATTTCCCAGAAATTATCCTTCATACCAAATGGTAAAATACGACTTGCATCTAAATATTTTAACCATATCTTTTTCGTCTCCACATCCTCAGGACAGCTAGGCAATTTTTCATCCCCTCCAAAATAAGTCACATATAATCTTTCCGGGTCTAGTTTATATACATTGGTTAGAAGATCCCATGCATAATCTATACTTTCCTCTTTAAAATAATCTCCAAAACTCCAATTTCCTAGCATTTCGAAAAAGGTATGATGGTACACGTCCTTCCCTACGTCATCCAAGTCGTTATGCTTCCCTCCTGCTCTTATGCACTTTTGTGTGTCTACTGCTCTTTTCAATTTTCCTAAGTCGCTATTCTTATCCACCTGCCCTAGAAATATTTTCTTAAACTGATTCATCCCTGCGTTCGTAAACAGTAACGTATTGTCGTTGTACGGAATGACTGATGCGCTTTCAATCACTGTGTGGTTCTTCTCTTTAAAATAGTTTATGAACTTGCCTCGGACTTCTTCTGCGGACAAGACTGGACGTGTGGATAACGCGGGCGCTTTTCCGTCCCCTTTTGCCGACGCCTTACTGACCAACCCATGATGTCCCCCCACCACTCCGTTCAACCCGGCCTCACCCTCGAGCCTTTTCTCCACCTGGTCCCCACTCCATTCACTCATTTTTACTTCGCTCCCTAATGTGCCTGTTTTCCCTTTCTCTGCCCCGTTCGGAACTTCTAAGCGATACTTATCACTTACACTCACAGGAGCAATATACGTCAAGCTGCCACTCAACAGACTGCCTTTTCTTATTACACTAAATAACCTTGAGATGTCTCTTCTGCTAAATGCTCTGCTCAAACGCATGCACCGGCTGTTTCTCTCCTCTTTGCTCCCAAATAGGAAAAACGCCCTTCGGGGGGTCCTTTCCAAGGGCGGCGTAAATATCACGGAGGAGGAACAACCCACGTGGTTGCTTCTCGTCGTACGAATACTTGGCGAGTCCCTTTCCCCCCTCGATGGAACAAACGTCTTTAAGGAGCCTCTACGAAGGGTGTTGTGTCCCTTAGGCTTGATGCTCAAAAGGAGGAATAAAAGCCTCACGGGGAAAAGAGCTCGTCTCATATATATAACCAGGAGGTTTGCCGGTATGCGTTGTGGTGCCTCCAATGAAGGCAAATCGCATCCGCACGCACCTGCAAATATTATTGCCCTTCCACCTGCTCATGCACATGTGGGGTTACGAAACAAACTAGGGCGACGATTACGATTACGCTCACGCGGTGTAGAACAAATGGATGTAAAAAAAAAAAGGTATCTTCCAGCTGGGTTTACCTCTCCCTCTGTGCCGTATACAATTTCACATGGACAAGGAGTTTATTTAATGGAAACTTGGAAGGAAATATAAAAAGAGATGGGGGGTAGCTAAACAACGACCTGCAACTTCAGGATGGTGTAGTATAATTTAACAACCCCACCTCTCTGCCTTTCTCACATAAGCTTCAACCACAGTGAACTCCTTAGAGGAGAGTATTATCTTCTACCGCGCCAACGCTTGTACCGGCGTAAAAGTTTTTTTTTCTGTTTATTTTCCCCTCTCTCACGCTTTGGAAATATGCCCACGTTCACAAAAATCTGTGCATAACATCATCACGCACAAATAAAAAAAAAATTTGGCATACGTAAGAAAAAGCAAAATTGTGTACATGCACGTGTAAAGCAATTTTTTCGAGTGTAGCCAACAAAGGACTGTGAAGCGTATTCCTCTAATTTTTAAAGGGCCTTCATAAAAATGCGTTTAAAAAGGCCTAGTTGTATATATTAATTATGCGTATGTCATTATGCAAACTCACAGCACAGTTATTTCTGATGCGAAGGAATTTTTGGCTTTTTTCGTAGAGGATAAACAAACTGCGCCATGGGTAGATATGTTCTTCTGTTTCTCCTTGGGGAAGGGGCAAGGAAGAGGAAAACAAAAAAGGGCGCCACGTCGCTGTTTTTTTTTTTTTTTTTTCGCGCTATTGCTCAGGCATATAAAGTGCCCACGTTAAAAAGAGGCGCAGGCCTGGGCGAGCCAAAAAAAAAATGTGGACCCGCTCTCGCGCCCAATGAGAAAAAAAAAAAAAATACATAGGTCAAAGGAAAAATGGAACGAAACCATATATAATTATATATACGTACAGAATATTTGTTCATTTATTTTATATGTTTGCTAGCGTGGAGGAACAAATTTCCCAACCGCAAAAGCGCGTCCCAAATCCAGCGAAGCGGTTAATTTGGAGCAGCCACAAATTACCGCGAACCAGTAAAAATATGTTTATAAAACCACGTGAACGCGTTGTACATATTTTTCCCCAATAGGCGTTCCAAACCATCTGGTCATGTCCCCCCTCCCGCGGCATAACAGCTGCGACTGTTCTATAGCATGCCAGTGCCTGCAAATATAAAAAAAGTGGACGTTCCACGACGACTGTGCAGCCACCACCACCGCACTACTCTATACCATTCGTTCTGCCTCAATTTCTAACCACTCAATTGTTAAACAAAAAAAATGCCAAAGTCTAAGAGAAACGTAACCATATCCTTAACCAAGGTAAAAAAAAAGCTGAACAAAAAGGAACTGAAGGACCAGAAACTGTCCGACCTTAAAAATATTATTCAAGTCCCAAATATTTATATCTACATTTTGGACGTGAGAACATACTCTAATAATAATTTGAAGGAGGCGATCGAGTACTTCAAGCCAAACGGGAGGTAAGGAATCTCGCGCACGGGTCCCCCACACCTGTTTAGCTATTGCCCCTACCCACTTTAGGAAGGACCAAAAAAAGGGAGGCTAAAAAAAAAAGCCCTTCCCCGTCAAATGATATATACCATACCAACACACCATATCACTCCGCATCACCTCGACATATTTTATCCCACCGTCCCACTCCATGCAGGTTCTTCATTGGGAAGAATAAGCTCATGAAATTGGCCTTAGGAACAAGCGAAAAAAGTGAAGCCAAGCCAAATGTCTGCAAAGTAGCAGAGGTAAAAACGATTCATGGGGCATCCCTTTCTGCCGCCTTCTATGAGTGAATACATGTACACATATTCCAGTTGTCGCATATCGTTTTAAAGCCCAAGGTAGTAACAACTGTGTGTGCCATTTGGGGACAATACTCCTCCCCAATGGGATAGACCAACATTTCAACTCATCTGTTGCTTCTTCCCTCTCCCTCCTAACACCTCTGCAGCTCCTTGTGGGGAACAGAATTCTCCTAATAACGAAAGACGCGCCCCTCAAGGTATTAAAATTTTTTAATGACTTTCAACCTCAAGAGTATATAAAGGGCGGAAATATTTCCACACAAGATGTCACCTTAAAAACGGGAGATGTATTAAACGTCCCAGTTTCAATGCAGAAGGATTTACAAAAAAGGAAAGTAACTTTCGACATCGTCGATCAAAAAATTGTCATAAGAGAAGATAAAATTTTGGCTGAAAAGGATAAAATCATCAGCCCTGAAAATGCCAAATTGTTAAGAATGCTGAATAGGAAAATTGCTAACTTTGACATAACCGTGTTGGGTTATTGGAACTTGAATAAATTCATTTCCTTGACGTAGGAAATCAGCCACTGTTTTTTTTTTTTTTTTTTCTTTGGGGAAAAAGTGGTCTTCCCTTCTTCCTTCCCCACCCCAGCGCACACAACAAATGTGCAGGCGTTTTTTTTGTCTTTTTAGCATTTAAAAAAAAAAAAAAATATATATTCTGTGCACTTTTGTTTCTTCTTTACAACTTTTTAAATCACACACGCGCAAGTTCGTCACAAACTAAGCGCCTTCTTTTTATTTGGAAGCTTTTTTAATTACATACAAATATTCTTCAAGTTGAAAAAAAAAAATAAAATACAGTGAAAAAACAATTTGATGCATGGCGTTTACGCGGCATAAAAGCATACACATATGTACATATATGTATATGCAAATGCAAAGACGGTTTAGACACAATTTACAGCAACGCCGCCTCCCACTATAGGAGTGCATACCTCCGATTAAGACCACGCGCATGCGTATACACGCCTGCATCACAAATAGGTCCAGGGCGCCATATATGTAGGCGATTTTTACCACTACCCCTACATCGTTATGACATTTTCCATTTGAATGTCCTCCTTCAGAATCTTCTTAAGGAAAGCAGTCATGGGGGGAGGGCCACACATCAAAATGAGCGTGTCGTTGTTACTAACCTTAATGCCTAGCCTATGGTACTTCAGAATGTACTTGCGTAAAATATCTTCCGTCAGATATCCCACATTTTCGAACATGCCCCTTTTGGTGGGGTCCAGGCACTGGTCTACGCTGTACACTGCTTTGAACCGTTCGAAGGTCCGCTCGAACTTGTCAAACACTGGGGCGTGGAAAGGGGTTGAAGTGCAAACAGGTTTTAATTTGTGCATGGGGATATATATATGTGCACATGTACACGTGTATATATGTGTGCACACATTGGTGAACATACATGAGCTTTTTCTCGCCTTACCCTCCTTGAGTAGAATCTCCTCCTCGTTCCTGTTAGCGTATATGAGCGTCACGAACGGCTGCTCCCCCTGCCTGACGTCAAACAGGAGCATGTGCTTTATCAGCCGAAAAAAGGGAGCCATGCCGGTCCCCCCAGCGATCATAACGATGTGCCTCTTAACCTGCACAACCTTAGAGAGGTAACTAAATTTGTTACTCCCTTTATAATCTAACACCCCAAAGGGACCCGCAATTTTAACCATCTGACCATTTCGCATTTGTTCCAAGTGGACACTCATTTTCCCACCATCAACAAAATGCATGTTTGGGCTGTATATTCGAATAACAAAGTGAACCTCTTTGTTCTTCTTATCTACATAAATAGGAGTGTAACTTCTGAAAATTTCTTTCGCATCCTTCTCTCTGTCCTCCTTGTCATTCCATTTGCCTTTTATCTTCCCTTGCTTATTGGGGCCATTAAATTTTATATGCTTACATATGCCTAACCCGAAATGGGTATATTCACATGGGTAAGAAAAAATGAAAATCCTTACTGTTTCAGTAAGCTTTATAATTTTACTCAGCTTCAACATTTTGCTCTTTTCCTCCAGGAAGGCATTCTGCATGGATTCTCCATCCTTTCCTTCCTCTTCTGTCCCCCCCTTCAATTCTTCATTTATGTTCGTCTTCATATAAAGTTCAAACAAATCTTCTGCACTTTTTTTTTCATCTTTATTTTTGTTTACAAATAAGAGGACACAACATATAGACATAAACAGAATTAAAATATTCGCCAAATTCTTCGAGAGGAAGTTTAGGCCTTCCTGCAACGTCTGCTTCATTTTTCCCTCCCTCAGTCAGTACCCCCTGGGTTCTTACCCACACGGATGTATATGTAGGAGTGTGTCTCTACCTGTGCGCGTCGGCTAGTCCGCCCGTTCGTGAGAGAAGAAGTGCGCAGGGGACGAAGAGGGATTGTGCCAACAAATGTAAAAACGAAAAAAAAAGGGTTACAAAAAAAGGTTACAAAAAAGCGGCCAAAAAAGGTTACAAAAGGTTAACCCAGCCTGACGACGCTTCACCAAACGTGGAACAAATGTAAACCAGATTTCACACACCAAAGCCCGCACTGACTCTGCGGACATCTATCCTTGCACACCTCCTTTTTTGCAGCGAACATGAATTGCTTTGTTTGCTATGTTCGCCTTCTCCATCCCATGCAGCCCCTTCACAAATGGAGCAATTTTATTATTTTTTTTTTTTGTACCCCCTTTTTATGCAAACGCTGTATCGGATAAATGCCCCCTCGGGATGAACGTTTTTGCCCCACAAAAAGAACGTGTAGGTATACTTCCTCTGAACAACCGCTCCAATCTTCAACGTAAGTTTGCCCATCGCCCCATCAAGTGTCCACATAACACCGTCACATCAAATTTATTACGTAAAAGGAACAAACTTTACGCACACGGCATAAAATACCATGTGCCGTTTACAAAAGTTAGAGGACACAACGCGAGCACGCGCCTTTCTATGTTCGCAAAGTGAATTGCAGTTTTTTGCAGCTTTCTCTGCATTGAGCATACACACACAAAAAAAAAAAATTATAAAAAAATATATAAACAACACAGCATGGAATAGCTTAGCACAACACTACACTAGACTGTGTAGTTGCCAAAATTGCTCCAGCTCACTTCCATACTGGCTGCGGCCGAGTGGAGTTCAACCCTTGCGTGTGCAACTCCCTCTGGGGATCCCGAACCTCACGCAGCCGCTTTAACGAGGACAAAAAAAAAAAAAAAAAAAAAAATTAAAAAAAAACCAAACGGAGAGATGCACAAACAGGTATTTTGCAAACTGCCTTCCCTACACTGCGGAAGACGCATTAACGTTAACACCTGTGGAATAAATCTCTCCATTTTGCACTCTTTGATGTGCCTTCAAAATGGTATATTTGGGGGAGCTAACCTGTGTCCACCTACTTCCTCTCCCCTATCGCTATGATGGGCACGTCATGCGCTCACCTATGAATGGCAAGACATGTCTCACTGTCCATCCAGTCGTCAGCGCATAAGGATATAGTAGAGGGGGTCTATCTACCCATCTGCGCTGCGGGTACAAATGTGCAACCTTGCCAGGAGAATGTAGGCTCCCCTTCGCAGATGTAAACAAAAGAATGCCACATAATGGGAGGAATGTACCACCCTCACCGCGGTCATCACAAATGTGCACCCACAGGTGAATAACGCATGCATAATTAGGTACATACACCGCCTTTACGTGCCCTTGGCCTTTTTCCCCAGTACTTGCTCTATCTTTTCCTTTTCCTTCTTCCTCTTTCGGCTCTTCTTTTTCGAGTTCTTTATAAAGTCTGTTATCAAATTCATGTAGTCTTCATCTCCGCCAGGCATATCAGCGCTAGCAGCTGGTCCCTTGGCATCAGTTTTTCCATTTTCCACGTCCGTAGAATGTAGCGAGCCAGCCTCATCCGAAGTGGCTACCTCGTTGTCCTCATGGGATTGCTCTACGTGTTCCTCTTCTGCATCTTCAACCCCTTCCTCTTCTGGCACTGCTCCCTCCTTCTCCCTCGCAGTGGCCAGGATGTCCTGGAACATCTCCTTCGCCTTGAGGTACTTCTTACTATTCGTGCTTATCGTTTTGGTCTTTTTATATTCCTTCAGCTTCATGAAATTCCTTATGTAGCCATTAAACATGTTAATATCCTCCTCCACGAGGGCATCCAATATTTTCTTCTTCACCTCGTCGGAGCCAAGCTTGAAAAAGGTTACTATAGTGTGCGCTCCTACATAATGGCTAGCTATTCTCTTATACTCACTTTTAAACAACAGAATAAAATTGCGCAAATATTTTGCGTTTATTAAGTTAAATGTGTGTGCGATTTTTTCACACAAGACGGACAAATTTTTATCACAGGAGAAGTAAAGCAAAATATTTCCTCTTAAGTCTGCATTCTTCCGTATAAAAGGTTTGACTTTTGTGCCATCTCTCTTTGGAGGGGGGAAATTATTACTACCTGTCCTTGCATGTTCAGGCGGAATCTGTCTCCCTCCCTCAACAGCTACCCCATTTCCAACATCACCATCACCTGCCTCTTCACGCGTTTCACGCCCCGCATGGGTTCCTCCGAATGTCTCAAAAAAATTATTATACTTTTCAACATCCTTTTGGCTAGCTACATTGCCATTTACAATTTTTAAAAAATTACAAAACTGCTTAAAAGAATTAATCACAGGCGTAATGGATTCTTTTGGAAAGGACAGAATGTGCGTCAGGATGTAGTAGCCGTTTGTATCCACTTTTATATAATCGTAAAAATTGTAGTTGTTCAAATTGGCGTTCTCTCCATTGTTGTCACTTTCCCCCTCCTCTTCCCCTGGGCCCTTTTTCTTCTGCTCCCTGAACACATCTCGGAGCACAGGGTGTAGCTCCTGGTAGCTACGCATGCACAAGATGCATATCCACAGGAATTTACCATCGCCCACAGCGCCAACGGGGGCTGCCTCAGTAACGCCGTTGCCCGATGGTCCATTACTCCCATGATCAATCTTGCCACTGTTCGCGATAACAGGACCCACCACGCGTAACCAGCGCAGCAAAGCGTTCAGGAGAAACTTGCAGTTCCTCTGGTAACACTGTGACAAATCGAACAGGCGCCTCAGCACGTTAAATTTTTTCCTTCGAATTATCAAATCGATGTCCACATTTTTCATGAGCAAGTCAAACATCTCTTCCGTGATGTTTTCCAACGTGAGGTAATTAAAGATGACCAAACTGGAGTATGCATTGTCGCACACCAAGCTATTTATATTTTTTAAAATGTATATATTGAACACGTAGAAGATGGGTTCTGTATTCATTTTTAGCAATTTTTCTATCATGATGCTGGGCCCATCCATCTTAATCAAAATATTCAGCATTTGCTTTAGGGGACTCTCTTCGTGGCACTTGCAATTTTCTCGCGTCTTGTTAATAAAATACTTTTTTGTCTTCTCTATTAGAAATACTTCTCTCACTAATTTATCGCATTCCACATTTTTCTCCTTCAGGAGTTCGAACAGGGTTCCCAGCGCTGGAACTGCATACGTGTGGTACAGCAGCGGCGGGATGAAATGCTGACTTTGGCTCTCCATAATGTACTTGGCATCTCCGAGGGATTGCTCCTCGCGAGCGCCTTGCTTATCGCCATGCGTATCGCCATTACGCACGGTACTCCCTTTTCCACCGTTCAGACTGTTTACATAGTTTACACCGTTTGCACCGTTTGAACCCGCGTCCTGGTCATAGAAGACGTACTGGTATAGCAAATTCTTCATCGGGAGAGACACCTTCGGGTTGGCAATTTCCTCCGTCACCTTCTGCACAATTATGTCAACGTATTCGTAAAACAGGTCATCTCCCCCTGCGCCCGTGGCACCCTTACTTTGCCCTTTGTCCAGGTACTTCAATTCAGTCCTCGTGCTCGTTCCCCTAACTTTGGACTTTCTAAATGATATATTCGAAATGTTAATATTTAGGTAGCCACCCAGGGAATACAAAAATGACCTTAACACGTGTGTTCCAGATTTATTCAACATGAGCGTGAACACCTTCTCCGTGGTCACGTTACAAATTTCTTTGAAGTAAACACCCAACGGTTGGTAACCCTTGTTTCTTTTCTTCAACTCTTCAACATACATCTCCTCCACTCTTCTAAAAAAGGAGTATACGCAAATAACAGTCTGCACAAAATGGGAAGCATAACTGGACAATGCTAACTTGATGTAGTCAGAACAAATGACTTGCAAAAAATGGTTATAAATTTCTATGCACTGCATGCTCATTTTCCCATTGCTCCCATCCTGATCATCCTTTTCATTATATTTTAAAAGGAAAAAACAATAGTATATTAGCTTTTCCATTATCTTCGAGCACTTCCTCTGATCTGCTAACTCCTTCTCGCTTCCTTTTATTTCGTCTTTTATCTTTATCAAAATGCATATGTCGTCTTCCACATCGTAGGAGTAGTTCAAATTGATGGCACCAAAACATTTATTTCCTTTTTTTAAATTATCTTCCTTCAACTCATGAACAAAATACTTTTCATACTTTTCATTTAAAATGTAAGAAATGTTAATCAAATAGTCCACAATTTCTTCTACATTTTTTTCTTCATTTTTCTTGTATATCATATCACGCTTCCGATCAAATCTACCTTTGTTGCCATTCTGAGTCCCGTTGCCCTTATTACAATACTTCCATTTATGCCTATTCGTGTTCGCTCTAAATCCGTTCATCGTGTCCTAGGTCAACTGGATATAATTATGTACATACAGTCACCTAACATTTGTAATTGTCCACTCTTACCATTGGCACCAATGCAAATGCATGTTACTTTTAACAAGGGACACGACATTACAAGTAGGTACAAAATACACAAACAGGAAATCAAATTCTTTTCCTCTTTTTTTTTTCTTCCCAATTCTATATTATTTACAAAAAATGAGATGTTCAAATTTGGAAATGTATATTTATTCTGCCTCAATCTTACGAAGTTTATTCCATTTTTTTTTTTTTTTTAACCAATGGGAAAATAGAAAAGGAATAGATTTCAACTATATATTTTTTTTTTTTCTCTCGTGCTCTGTTTGGTTACTTGGTGTGGGTATATTTGCGATTTAAATATTTGTTCAACAATTTGTTAGCGCAGTTCTTCCTTTTGCTGCAAATATTTGGGGTGGTCGCTTTACGGTTGTTTATTGGGATACTGATAATTGCTTGCTTTCGCTTCGCTGTGCTTTTCGCTGTTTTGCTATATTGTTTTTTCCGTTGTTGCCCCTCTATTTATGGTTGCATTATTTTGAAGCTACTTTTCCTCCGCACAAGTGAGCCGCCCAACACGCCCTTCAGCAATTAGCCACGTCAAAAAATGGCGGCAGTTTTTACCGCACCAAAAATGTTATATCGCCGACAACGGCCTTCTGCGTTTGCAACTGGGCCCTATATTTTGTCCAAACTGAGGGCACAAAAAACAAATTGACAGCAGAAAAAAACACTCGTGGAAAGTCCTATATATATTTTATGTTCCTCCGGATTGTAATAACACTTCAATGCTTTATCTCCTTTTCTTTTTTTTTTTTTTTTCATTCCCAATAACCCAATTTATGGCGTAACTATGAATGTAAAAAAAAGCCCACGCTGATATAGTAAAGGCAAGAATCTTTAGGGGATTTTCGTCCACATACAATTGTGCCTATTAATCATGTTTGCAATTTTTTTTTTTTTTTTCCAAATGGACGCATAAAACGTGTGAATTTGCCTGAACGGTTCATAATTTTTTTTTTTCATATTCCACCTGTGTTTAAAAAATGGCATAGTCATTAGACCGATGATGAAACAAATGCCCAAAGGTGAAAAAGGAAAAGCGGTTCCTACGTTGCCCGTTCCAGTTCTTTGTGCATTTAGGTGTATAGGAAAAATGGAAAAGACCAACGAAACGATATGCCAAGTGAGATGCTATACCTAAGCCGTTCGGGCAAATAACATACACATGGGTGTGAGAGCGCCCACTCCACCATTATACCGCACAGAGCATCATTGATCGTTCACAATCCTATAACCACGTAATGTTATTTCTTGCTTTGCGAACATGAAAATTAAACGACAAAAGAAAGCACTTTTTCCTCGGTCCACTTCGGGTTTCTTGAAAATATTTACTCCTAAAAAATGAAAAAATAACTGTCGTGGGAAAGAGCAGTCCAGTGCATGACACTTGCTGCACATGAATAAGGACAATCATTTGATGAATCTTCCGTTTCTACGAAAATTTTATTCGTAATATGTTAACAAAACTACTATGGGTGACTTTTCTTTTTTATCGCAATTGTAAAAATAAGACTTCCTGTTAAGCACATATGAAAAACGGGGGTTCCTTAAACATCGCAGTGAGCGCAAACACGTAGGTCCATAGTTCTGGGGGGAAAAAGGAGCCAAATGGACAGGCAAAACGTTAAGGCGATAAAGTGATGACACGGTGACATGGAGTGCTAATACGCAACAATAACAACGTGCATTTTATACCTCGTATGCAACTCCCCACGCCCCATGAGGATCACGCCCCCCTGTTATAGTTGATTCTCCCAATTCTCCCGACTATTCCCGATTGTACGATTTTGTCGATTATGCCCGAGAAATAAAATGAGACGCGCAAGGGAAGCCCTGCTCATTCTATACATCGCGCTGCTGCCCGCCCTAAATCACATTCCCCCTGTGTTCAAAACGAACTGCGTACATGTAGGACACGACTACCTCCGCGATCTTATAAAAATGGGCATATTTGAAAAAAACAGCACAAAAATAAGAAAGGAGGTATACGAAAACATAAACCGTACACACGAAACCTACTCGTCATGCAAAACCTGCATCAAGCTCATTCAGTTGATAGGAAAAATAATACAAAAAAAAAAAGAACCATATGTAGATATAGCCATAGAAGACACACTGGAAACCAACTTGTGTGACTCTAACCTCTGGCACGAACATTTCAATTACGACGAACTGTTATATAGTGAACACGTCCTAGAGTATTGCAAGGCCACATGGAAACGGACGAAGGATAGTATAGAGCAACATATATACCACTTCTACAACAAGGAGGAATTATTTTACCGGACAGTCTGTTTACATATCAACCCCCTATGCAAAACTGCCATTGAGGAGGAAAAAGTTAACCTCAGCAAGGACTCCAAGGTTAAATTTATCTATCAGCTATACTGTGATTACTTAACTGGAGAGGTAATGTCTGCGCATGTTTTCCTCAACACGGCACACACCGTAATGTATGTTATTACTCTACAATAGTGCATTCGACTGTCTACACATGGGGACTCGCTCCTTTTTGAGCGTCAGAAGAATTATCAACCCCTTATTCAGATTTTTACCATCAATTGTGCCATAATAAGGGGACTGCCATTTCTGCCCCCAATGCTGCGCACCCACGTTTAACATTTTAAAAATACTCAACCCTCACACACACAGGAACACTATAGCCAAACGAGCCAAAGTGTGCCATATAAAAAAATCGAATCTGCACACAATTCAAATGTAACCCTGAAGAGAAACGACTACGCAGTTGTCCAATCAGAAATTCGCACAATGAACCAAAAAAAAGTGGCTGACGATTTTGCAGACAGAAAATTCAGACTGCTTCGAATTAGTGAAGTAAGGACAGAGGAGTGATGAGATTGGCGCACACGATCCCTTTTCCGCATCCACATCCCCCTCTTCCGTTTCTTCCCCACTCCACCTTACCGTTACACAAACAGCTTGATTACGACGTACTGGAGGTTTTCCTGCGGATGAAACAGCAAGACGTCTTTAAATTCCTGTTTTATTGCAAATCGTGTGAAGGTACGCAAAAAAAAAAAAAAAAAAAAAAAAAACACAATATTTTTCTTTAGACAAGTTTTACCCCCCCCCCCCCTTTTTTTTTTTCCTTACGTGTCACCTCACCA